TCAGCTTATCTCCCATACTGCACATTAATCCACTGTGCCTGTGGTGATTTGCTTCTGTCTTCATGCATCTCTATACACACTAGCAATCGGCTGAAAGAAAGAAAAATAGACTCTCAACTCACAAGTGTATCACTGAGAGTCTGTGCCAGGGTCCAAAAATGCTATCAATTCAGAATCTGTCAAGATCTGTCCCGTGCTTGGACACGTGCCAGAGTGAACAAGTGAATTCATTTTACTCAAAAACTAAGATAGTACAAGTCCAACATGTTCAGGAGCATTTCTGGCTGGTTGAAACTCGATCCTGATTTCTGCCTGATAGTCAAAGTTATAAAGCACCTCTTCCTGGATGATGCAAACCAAACACTTTTGTCTTCTCATTTGCATTTTGTACCTGAAATTGCTCTACCAGAAATTCAAACAATTACAGTAGAGCAGTAAAGTATGTGCTATTGGATCTGGTGTGTAGTCAATTCAATATTGTATTTTATTATACACTTGCATTCTGTTCAACAAGAAGTCACCCAATGTATCTACAATGTCAAATGGCTGTACTGTCAGTGTCAATAAGTTTATTGACTGTCATGTGACTACTTTTTCATACCCAACTTTGCTTGATTTAATTCAAATTCTCTTAATTATAATTATAACTTCTAACCTTTTTGTGCTGAAAATAAGATGAGCTAGCTAACAAGTACTTTCTCCAGGATCATAAACACCTTTGCATTTTGTTCACATTCAGTTATACAAGTATGCATTCTTGAGAAAGACTCTTTTATTGTTTCACTAAGATTTTCTTTATAGCCAGATCAAGCAGTAAAAACAATTATTATATTTAAATTTTATGACAGGTTTTTAATTCACTTTACAGGTTTTCTGCAACAATGAACGGTGCAGAAATAGTCCGAGTCACCCCGAAGATTGTATACTCCCGGACTGTAATCAGTATGTGATTGTATTTCCAGTTTAACTAACATCTCTTATAAAAATTTTAGAGACTGTCCGATAAAAGAATATAGTAAGTGATATGCTATTATATCAATTGCTCTTTGATACTGCCTGCTTATCGGACATTACAGATAATCGGATTGAAGGGTACTGTGCATATTGCCTCAAGAAATTTGAAGATTATTGGAATGAAATTGTGGCAAATCAAGGTAAGCTTGAATTCTTAAATATTCTTGCTTAAAAGTATAGGGCCGATAACAACCCATTTTTTACTTAGAAATTGGTACTGTTAGCACAACAAACGCCAATGTTAAAAAGACAAAAAATATGCAGGCTTGTGGCAAGTGCCAGGACTGGCAAGCAAAGGTAAATACTATATTTTATTATTAGTTTAATTACAACTCAGTCTTACATCATTTATAACAAGTGCGAATATATTCAGGAGAATCCCCTTTTATGTAAATTGTGCAAGAGCAAGAATCTCGAGCAATGCCCACCTCATCGGGCTGGGAGAAGGGCGAAGAAGGGCGGTAATTAATTTGTAAGTAAAACCCTAGATAAAGTCTACAAATTTAGAGAATTGACTCTGTATTACAGGCTCCTGATGGAGATGCTGCGTATACATGTACATGACAACGAGTCCCAAATGCTTCATAGATAATATAATACACCCATTTCTTCTTTGGACCCGACTCCTCCGTATTTTGTTCCTTGAACATGTGTACAGAAAACTTGCACAAAGGATGACTTTATCGAATAAATTTCGGATTCCAGCAGATGACAAGATGCTTATTCTCTGAATTGTGACTCTGCGAGTCTTACTCGCTGGCATTGGCCTCAGCGAAGAGGCAGCGAGCGCACGCCACCGTGTGCGCGAAATCATCTCCGACAAACGCGTCATCGAAGGTGGAGTCACCGTGGTGTGCAAGAAGACGCAATCAAAGAACGTACGCGATGCGTTTATGTATAGGAAGAACTTGGCAACGTTGGTCGAAGAGTCTGTGCGTTTTACACCTTATTTCTCATCGTTATAACTGAAATCACGAATCATTAATATTATTGATACAATGCTAGTCATGCCAACAAATGAATGCGTAGGAACTGCCCGACTACCACCTAACATGCCAACATACCTCACAGTAGCAGCAGCACCGCCTCCCACCGAGCCACCCCGATTGTTGTGTACCGTCTATTGGGACGATATTAGTGCCAAAGAGGGTCCATGGCATATTGCAATAGGAACTGTGGAGAAACCCATGATGACACACTATCGACTATTGGAAAGACGCCTTTATTGATAGTATCCAAGTAGACCTAAGCAGACCGAGCCGAGATGGAAATGTGTCGATTCGATAAGGTACAGATATTTTGGTTGTTCACCCAGCGAGCTTCTTTTTGAAGTGCTCTTTCACTTCGTCAGACCCGTCCCCTGCCATATCAGGCAGCCAGAACGCCTATAAAAAATTAGTCGATTACTGTTGCCTTAATCGAAGGAAGGTATTAATGCAACTTACCAATTCTGCTCCCGCCGTCGCCATCATCCCAAGTCTAGGATTAAACCGCACACACCTCGCAGGACCAGGATGACCATCGAGAGTCGTCATCGGGTCTAGTACCACGGGGTTCCTATTGAGGTCTATCGGTTCATTCGCTCGTACGGGAAGCTTCTGCACGTCCCAAATGCAAATCTTGCCGTCCAGACTCCCGCTCACAACGAACTTACTATCGGGAGTCCACGAAACTTCTTCTCCACTTATTCCCTTCGTCGGGTTCAAGCCAACGGTAGCTTCCATACGAACTCTCTCCAAACCGACGTGGCCTTCTAATTTAGCGAGTAGATGGCCTTCGAAGGCGTCTAATATGTAATGCGCGTTACCGGATGTGCCGACGAGTAGGTACTTCCCGTTTGACGAGAAGGCCAAGGAAGTCATGTATATCTGACGAGGCGGGAAGGAGATGAGTTTCAATAATGGATCTTCGAGTGTCATAGTCAAGAAAGGCTCTTTGTCAAAGTTATTCATGTCGTAGAGTAAGATTCGACAGAACGTATTTATAGCAACAGCGAATACGAGACCTGAGTTGTCGTAGGCAACGAGAGGGGAAGATGGCAAATGGAGAAGACCACGACAATTTGGTTTTCGTACGTCCCAGAGACGGACAGTTCGATCGAGTGAGCCGGACATGAAGCCGTCGTCGATTGGTGATACTTCTAATGAGACGACGCGTTCTTTGTGGCCTTTGAAGTATTGTAGATATTTGTTGTCGTGTAATGAATGATAACGAATCGTGTCATCTTCCTTCGTAGACGCGTGCACGATCGTGCTGTTTTTGTGCGTGAAGCGTGGCAGGTCGACGCCGTATTTCTTCGAATATAATGTTTTTACGTGTCTAAAGTCAACCATGACCCATATCAAAACTCAGAAATTATGTCCAAGCAAAGAAAAGGTTGGGATACGCACTTGCCACTTTTGCAACTATACAAACGAAACGTCTCATCCTCCGCTGCGGTTACCAAATAGTCTCCTCGATCATCGAACGTCAGCCCTGTGATTTGTCGAGGCACTTGATTCTGTGGCCGATGATTTGTAGAATTAGGTGAGGGTGGAGGAAGTGCGTCTACGGAGCCTTTGAATATCTTTGCTGGTCTGAGCTTCGCCTATGTGAGCAAGTCAAACCAGATTCAGTCAATAGCGGGTTCGTGAGTGAACTTAGCGAAGTGTGATACGGACCATGATGGACTCGTTCAGAACTACGGTCGCTGCCTTTGCCCCGTTGATATTTGCGCTCGTACCAGAAGCCACACTCGTCATGTCGAGTATTCAGTATGCGTTTAAAGAGTGAAACAAAGCCACAGTGCGCTTTCTACACACACTTTTGTTGGTGTGGTGCTTCAATCAATGAATCAAGTCAAGACTGATCGACGGGTGCAAGTCACGTGACCCGTTCCCAGTCACTAACACTTTCTTTTCTTTGAAGTTATTAACTCTTCCACTTTCTTCGCAGACAACGACTCAAACGTAAGATGACGGACGCAGTTGGTGGACCAGACGAAGCTGCTCGTTTATGGCGAGTAAACAGGACGATTCACGAACTCATCAAAGACAGGGTGCGTCTGCACAGATCTCATTACATTAGCGTTCTTGTGCAAGTACTTACACAGCAATAACTCCTGGCTGGCTATACAGGGCTTTCAAGTGTCTGATGAAGAAATCGAAGTGGATTTGGTGACTTTCAAACAACAATTCGCGAACAGTAGTGGTTCTGTCGAGTGAGCACAATCCGTTTCCGTTTTCTCAACCTAACATCTTTCCTTTTACTTGTTTTATTTATTTGTTTATTTTGCACAGTCGAAACCAGCTCAACTTCTTCGCAACGCACGAATCAGACCCATCAGACCACATTTTCATTTACTTCTCAGACCAGAAGAGCGTGGGTATTAAGACGATGCAGAAGTGCGTGTTTTGCATCCCATCTCGCTTGGTTGATAATAACAAAATAACAAATGGCATATCCTGACTCGACATATATCCTTCCCGCCATTCTTCTCGCCTGCGTACAGGGTTTGTATCATCTTGGAAGAGAAGTCCATTAACAAAGGGATCGTAATCTTTCCGGGGACCATGACGCCGTCGGCTCGCAAGGTACGTCTCATCAGCGTATTCCCGTTCTATTCTCTTCAAACCTTCAAGCGCCAAAACGAACGTATGGATTAAATAACACTCTTCTAGTTCATCGTCCAGATGTCCGTCCGATACCGCCTCGAAGAGTTCTCCGAATCCGACCTTCTAGTAAACATCACCCGACACATCCTCGTCCCCCATCACGAAGTCCTCACGCCAGAGGAGAAAGACACGCTCTTAGAAAAATAGTGAGTTTATTAGCTATCTAACTTCCCTGTAACTTCTTTGCTGTAGAAAGCTAAACTTCTATGACTTTAGTCGCTTAAAGGAAACACAACTTCCCCGCATCCAGCTCGCCGATCCCGTAGCACGATATTACGGTCTTCGAAGAGGCCAAGTCGTCAAAATCACTCGGCCGTCGGAGACTGCGGGTCGGTACGCGAGTTATCGTATATGCTTCTAGTCTTAGTCTTCTAGCTTCATGTCGTCGAAGTTCAGAGTATGAAGTTTTTCGGAGGACTTGACGGGAAAAGGTAAAACGTATTTGTATTCGACTCGAGGGTGACTTCTCTAGCTCAGCATATTCTTCATCGGTGTATTTTCGATAGATGGTCCAGTCTTCTCTGATTTTAACGTCATGGACAGTATAGCTTGCCAAAAAATTTAGTCTTGAAATTTCGTGAGTCGGGATGGATGTGTGGCTAGAGTCTATAAGGTAAGGAAGGTATGCAAATACTGAGTGTAGGTACAGCATGGAGATTAAGGACGAAAAATATGACGAATGGGTTAGCATGAGAGAGTTGCGCGAAAGGAAGAACAAGAAAAAAGAAAGGGAGTGGTGGACAGTGGGGGCGATGCCCCAACAGTATGCACACGTAAAGCCCAAATATGCTATTATTGCGTCTGACATTCAGGGTGCCCATTCTCTTCATCATCATCATCGGTCCACGCATCTTCTTCATCATCCGCGCCGAACTGGAAAGCAGAAAATGCAGACTGATTCAGGAAGTCAGCGCCCGCGGTGAAAGAGCGCGTACGCACATCGGCGGAGTCAGCCTCCTCAAACGCCGGTGCGTCCACTACGGCAGGCCGGGGGTCCAGATCTGGCCTCTTCGGTGGTAACAACTTTTCTAGGGCCTGTATCAAGTGTACACGTACATGCGAATTAGGCGAGTATGGGTATATCAGAGTATCAGAGGATGGTCATGTATAGCCAAGATGAGATGAGAGGGAACACACCGCTTGATCAACGCTCGTCGCCCAATTCCCATCGGGAAACTCAACGTCAAAGATGACGTACAAGTCACCCTTGAGATCTTGATTCTTGTAATGTGGCATTCCCTCCCCTCGTAGGATAATAGTGTCTCTAGGTCGGATAATCTTTCCTGGTGGGCTTGTTACCTCAATCCCGCGACCGTCAAGATGAGTAAGGAGGATGCGAGAAAAGCCGAGTAAGGCCTCGGACAGCGTAATCTGCACTTTCGCAAGTAGGTCGTTGCCTGATCGTTCGAAGGCGGGATGCGGCTGTAATTTAAGGACGAAGATCACGTCTCCGGCGGGAGCATCTGGCTGACCATGGCAATTGGTAACATTAGGACCACAACTTCTCACTGCTGCCGAACAAGGAACAGGTCCATACCGATTGGTCGCCCTCACCCGCGAGAACAATGCGTTGGTGGTCCGTCATACCCTTCTCAACGAAGATTTCTTGACGCTTCTTTTCTTTGACGGTCTTCTTACCCTTGCACTTCTTACAGCTGTGAAGTAGGCTTTAGCGTGTTTTTGAAAAGACCAAAGTTTGATACCTACCGGTCTTTTTCACGGAGCTTCTCGCCAACGCCTTCGCACTCAGTGCACAGGACTCGCGATTGCCCATATGTTGACTGTCCAATCTAGGAAGTAAGTTGTACAAAATGAGGCAACGGAATGACGCTCGATACGGAGGTTACTAACGGAGCTCGTCGTAAACGTCCATCCTTTCCCTTCACACTTAGGACAGGGCTTCGGCTTCGCGTTCCCCTTTGCTCCAGATCTAGCAGTAGTACGAAGTCAACAGCAACCAAGATGAGCGCGAGCGAGGGGGACCCGAGGCAATGTCTTACCCGCGACAAACGCCACAGACGATCTCCTTCTCCATGTTCATCTTCACGTGCTTGCCGTTATATAGGTCCTCAAGGGTCACTTCATACGGTATTACGGAATCTTCTCCTCTCCGCGGTCGTGACATACGAGGTCCGCCGCCAAATGTGAATGAAAAGCCGCTATTGCCAAATAGCTCTGCGAACAAGTCTGCAGGGTCAACACCACCTGGTCCACCAGGACCTCCTTTCGTAAGACCCTCTAGCCCATGTTCGTCGTAAACCTCTCTGGTTTCGGGATCAGATAATATCTCATATCTAGAGAAATATGGGATGATCAGCGTAGTTAGTAAAAGAAGAACGCTTCCACGGACGCAGTTCCAATCTCTTGGAAACGCTTGCTGGCTTCAGGGTCATTGATGTTCTCGATGTAGAGTGTCAGCGAAGAGAAGTCTACGTGGTGGACGGAAAATCTCACTTTATCCTGTGTAAAGCGAGTAAGTTACTGTTTGAGAGCGGAATTAGCTGCGGACGTACAGGATGGTGCTCCTTGGCCTTCAGAACTATGAGAAAGCATGTCATTTAGAGAGGCGAATAAAGCGGACCTTTCGTCGATATGCCTTCTTAATTTCGTCTACACAACCTGCATCAGCACCTTCTCCGGTTAGATCAGTGACATTCCTTATTGCTTACCTGCGGTTGCATCGTAGGGAACATCAAGGAGGTCATAAAGTTCTGTGTCAACAGGCACTATTATTACGGGCAAGGCACGCGTTAGACCAAGTTTAGGCGCGTCGCATTAGCACCGTAAGTCACTGACTTATTATGCAAGTTGTGCGTCTCAGTTATTGCAGACGAGCTTCTCCTTCGAAAAAGTCTAGTGAGATGTGAAAATACAAGGAAAGAGAGGAAGAAAGAAAGAGGTGCACAGCGAAAAAGTGGTAGTCCTCGTCTGAGCCGTGAAAGGGTCCTTGGAAGTTAGCACGCTGCAATTCTTTCGCACGTGACGCTAAAATTTTGGCTCAATTAGCGATCTTGCTCTCTTTCATCTTCTACCAAGTACTAGTCTTAACAAAGTCTCAAAGCCATTCAAAGTCAATAGGGTACGTTCCTTCGACTTCGTTTCATCGGTTATTTGAATGATGCCCAAATTCAAACTTATCTACATTGTCTAACTGGTTTGACCAGCCTTGACGAAAATGTTATATTTTCTGACATTCGATACACCCTTTTCTCCCTGGTTTGATGCTTTACTGACGCTGTTACTTTTTCTTAAGGTGTCCCGACTCGTGACTCCGCAGGAAAAGTTATACTTACTGTACATACCATGCTGTATATGAATAGTGTTCAATTTGACTGACACATGTGTAATAAATAGAATGCTCCTCCATTATGAACTTCTACTTCGATGCTGCTAAGGTTCTCGACAAACTTGACGCAAAACAAGGCTCTATCAAGGGTATAATATCCACTCTTCCTGAGAAGGATAGGAAGCGGACCGCAGCTCTGGTTATTGAGACTCTCAGATGTACGGAGAACATCATTACTCCCTCATGCCACCTGGTTTAGACAACATTCAGACAGACAAGGCCGTTCTAAACGATATCATCCACGCCGCCGAGCTTCTCAAACACGAGCGACAGAAGCTTACCTCTCCAAACCTTGCACTCCTCCTCGTACATGATCTCCTCTTTTCAAAAGGGAAAATACAGGCTGGTGACGGCCCTATCAAGCAAGCCGTGCTGAGGTGAATAAGCCCGCACCGCGTCCCATGTTCATATCAGCTAGTAACCCCGGTTTTTCCCTTGCTCCAGGCATAAGACACGACTACAATCTGAGTTGACGAAGATCAAGGTTAAGCGTGGGGTCAAGTCGATTTCGGACCTTGCTCACGGAGGTGATGAACGAGCGGGTACGTCCCTGCTGTGGCATTCAATTAATACCCCCTTGAACCAAGGCGTAGATCTCATTCCGCGTTATGTGCGCGTGAACACCGTACTTTGGTCAACTGAGGAGGCCATTAAGTGCTTCCTTTCGCATGGATATGTGGAAGACGGGGACCCACTCGATTCAAAGTACGCGGTCCGTTTCCCGACTTTTTCTTCCGGAGATTAAACCTTTCTGTACTCAGGAAAACTGTGCAATGCGACCAGCACATTCCTAACCTCCTTCTTTTCCATCCCTTAGCGTCTTTTAACGATAGCCCTCTGTTATCGTCGGGTAAAATTATCCTTCAAGATAAAGCGTCATGTTTTCCCGCAATGATCCTTTCCCCGCCCGCGCATACACAGACGCGTGCGATTGACGCAACGGCGGCTCCCGGAAACAAGACTACGCTCCTAAGCGCTATTATGAAGGGCCGCGGGAAGGTGGGTAGAGACTTCTCCCTTACTAAATTGAACATCAAAGGGGAAACTTCGAGCTGATCAATGATCAGCTATACGCATTTGAACGCGACAAGAAGCGTTTTGCGACCCTAAAGAAGATGGTGGAAAAGGCTCATTGCGGTAACGTTGAGCCGACGAATGTGGACTTCATGTCGGTCGACCCGCATGACTCGAAATATGCCGGGGTCTCTCACATGTACGTGTGCTGCCCTGTCCACATCTAGATGTTTGGCTTACCAGGCACTTAACTTTGACGACACAGCCTTCTGGATCCGTCCTGCAGTGGTTCTGGGATCGTCAACCGCCTGGATCATCTACTCGATACAGGTCTCTCTCTATCCCTTCAAGCATTCTCTACGGACCGACTCTTACCTTCCTTTCCATTGTAGAGGACGAGGATGAGATTGAGGGCGGCCAAGACGAACGATTACAGAAGCTCGCAGCTTTTCAGCTACTGATGATCAAACACGCCATGAAATGTATGCGTAACTCGGTTCGCCATTTCCGTCCCCACCTAATCAATACTTACTTTCGCCTCAGTTCCCGCAGTCACGAAGATAGTCTACTCAACATGCAGTGTCCATGCGGTAGAGAACGAGGACGTCGTCTCTCAGGCACTAGCGTCTGATGAGGCGAAAGAGGGGCATTTCGTTCTCGCTAGTAGAAACGAGGTCCTACCAACATGGCCGCGTAGAGGATTACCAGCAAGAATGCCGGGGTATAATTCAGGTACGTAGAGTATGGGATAGAAGGAGGAGGGGATTGATCATGAAAGCGAGTTCCACCGACTATAGGTCTGATCGCCTTTCTTACAGAGTCGTTGGTCCGATGCGTACCAGGTGAAGACCACACAAACGGCTTCTTCGTCTCCTGCTTCGTCCGCGAGAAAGACGGCGGTAACCCCGACTTCAACCGTAAAGAGTGCGAAAATAGTTTACCAAATGAAGGCTTAACTCCTCAAGGGAAACGTCCAGCAAGCCAATACGAAGACAACGAAGAAATCAAAGTTACGAACACGCCGGAACGTCAATCGATCGAGGTCAGCGCCGACAGGCGCAAGAAACGAAGAAAGCGATCGAAAAAGCAGCATTGACCTCGCGTGATGCAGTATGTCATGCTGCGGATCTAACCACCGTTTGTTGTACATACCATATTAAACAAGTGCTATCTTTCCGCGGTTACAATATTAGCCCATGCAATAGCTATACAAGACTACATTGCGTGATAGACACGACATAAGCTTCGGCAGGAACCAAATAAACACTAACAACACGTTCCTCCACCCACATGTGTGTCCAGCATGTCGAATTTGGTCTTCCACACTCTGCCATAAACTCAATGTCGCGCTCCTCCTCCCGACCTAATTTCATTTTACTCCGGGAGCAATGCTCGTGCAGATCAGGATATTTGACGAACAGGCTTCACGGGAGAAGATGATCTTCTCCCAATTTCAGATTGATTTTTTTAAACATGAGATGAACAATACGTGTTATTAATGAACAGAAACGAACTTTGACGGGGCAATCGAGTGTATGTATCGGAGGACTTTAACGCCACATCCCCAGGCCGCAGCAACAGCGCACAGATCAATATCAACGGCGTCAAACGTGCAAGGCTATAGAATTCTTGCCATGCGGCGCTTTAAGCACGCCAGAATAAAATAACCGGTATTCATCCAGACGACAGCTCCTTCGTTACAATATCATTGCTGAATGGAAGACTTGTCTGGAGATCTCTTTTCGCTTCGCAATCCATGTCAGACTTGTCCTTCATTTCCTGAGCGGATAAACCAGTTGTCTGATGGTGTACATGGCACTCACTTCTTGCCATCCAGTCGTCAACACAACACGGCTCACAATAGATTAGACGTAATGTGAACTAATCCTCCAACAATCATCTGTTGATTGAAACTGTAGACTGAGCTTCCGGGATTGGATACGACGCAATTGAGCAGCCCACTATGCACTGTCTTTGTTGCATAACTACGATACATAAGCACAAAAAAAGAGAGAATCACCATGCGGCCAACAACTTGAGTACGAAAAGGCGTGCTGCTAAGCTAATGAACTCGCGTCAGTGACAAAACACAACCCCACAGACTTGCCCTGAGCATTAGAAATAGTTGTCACAGAAACGAAGAATATTAACTGGAGTGTCGCTGTTGGAGGACCTATACCGTGAGTGCAATAGAAAAATCAATGGACAAGGATACGCATGAGTTGTAAAGCCGAACACTGCGGTGGCATCGAAGGAGCATAGCGGCGATACCTGAAGGTGAAAAGTGAATATCATTCGAGTTTATCGCTGAATGGTGTCGCGGACGCGGTTTGTCTTTTGGTCTAAGATCTTTCAGCATTTCACTGTTGCATAGGAGTTTGTGACTGGTTATACTGCTGCTGGTAATATTGAGCGTAAGCTGCGGAATAGTCCTGACCGCCGTAACCTTGCGGGTAGCCGGCACCTTGGTACCAAGCTTGCGTACCGCCATAGCCCCCGCCATAGCCGGCGGCGGCAGCACCTGAATATCCCTGAGGAGGACGATAGCCATTCTGCGTGTTCTGGTTAGCAGGTGTCGTTGACTGCCACATTTCAGGTCGACGCCAAGGAGGTACATCGGATCCTCCTGCTGTGATGCTAAGCCCTGTCCCACCACCACCCCAAGACTTCCCAGTACCCGCACCTGCACCGCTCTCTCCAAGTTCGGCCATAAGATTAGCATATTCTGAATCAAAGTTGCCCTTGTTCATTGCGGGAGGAGCATCGGGCGACCCGTTAAGATCAGGTCTCACCTGGCAGTCACGAGCCATATGGCCAGCGCTGCCACATACTCGACAAATGATGTTAGCGGTGAAATTTTTCTGTTCAGGGCAGTCATATTTGCGATGTCCGACCTCTCCGCAGTTCTGGCAAATTTGGTTTTCATCGTCCCGGAGAGTACCATTCAATGCAGCAAGTTCACGGAGCTGGTTACGTTTGTGATCGTTCTGACCTTCGGGTGTAGAAGCAGCCTAATACAATTTTTTTGTTCAGAAAAAATTCCACCCTAATTAAGTATAAGATACTTACCGTTTCAATGACCCTATTGATAAGCTTGACGCAGGTAGCGACCTTTTCTTCGGAGTCTGCCATCACAAGGCAATGCAAGTCCTCTTCGGCATCATCCGCAAATTGGTCGGGCTTGCCTTTACCCTCCTTGACACTTCCTTTGCCACGAATACTAATCTTCGCTCCGCTCTCACGCTCCATCTTCTTCAAGCTATTGCCTCGAGGACCTACGAGCAAACCGAAAAAGTTGATTTCGGGGAATTCCTTAGTTGGAATATAGACTTTCTCTGAGGGGCGTTGAGACCGCTTTTGCTGGTGGTATTCAACCGGTGGACGGAAGTTAGGGTCAACTTTCAAAGCTCTGTCGACCAGCTTGATGCGTTCCTCTTCAAGTTTCTTGCGATAACGGACCTCACGCGTGTTCGTACGCCTACCATGGGCATCGTACACAGGCGGAGGTGAAGGAGAACTAAAAAATACCTTATATCAGTCCTGACCAAAAATAGACATAAAGTGCACATACCGTTCTCTCTCAGGAGGAATAAAGTCATTCAAGCGTAGCTTACGATTTATTTCTTCAAGACGAAGATGAATAGCATATGTGTCGAGCTGGGCTTGCGAGACGCCATTGGCAGAGATAGCTGTTGGTAAGCCAGGTAGCTCCGCCTTTGCTTCTCCCCATCGGCTGCGGCGCTTCCGACGCTCATTGGGATCAGCTGTGTGCGGCGGTGTTAGAAAAGAAAGGAAAGAAAGAAATATCAGGTTAGTCATTGGTCAGTCACTTGAATGGCAGGATGGAACAAAATCATCGGTACTGAACCGAGGGTCCTGTCGTCATCTGCCAAACGGCAGCGACCCTTCGCAGGCGACGAGCTATCGCCCGATATTAGTGAGAGACATGTTTTACATACCAGAAGAGGGTGTCGCAGGCGAATGCTCGCGTGATCTGTCCTCCGAATCGCCTCGATGCGCCTGAGGGCGAGGGTATGCGGAAGGCGAGGGTTGCGCGAGTTGCGGAGGGACAGATGATTCAACAGGTGCCGGACCGAAACGCCGTCTGTTTCCTAGAGGAACTATAGGGCAAATTGTCAGTACCTTTCCTAGGCACACCGAAGAACAGAGCACTGAGCGGAGGAAATTTGCATTACTAACCATCGTTGGTCCCGGTGATCGTTTTCGTCGCAGGTTTCCACATTCTCAATTAAATCCAAAGCAGGACCGGCTTCGACGTCTCTTTACGTGAGGCAAGTGGCCTTGTGAAGAAAGAAAAAGAAAGTGAAGCAGGTAGCGATGCTCTGCAAGTGGCAGTCTGTGAAGAAGATGCCACAGTCATTGAGTCAACAGCGACGAAGCTCTGTTCGTAGATTTCAAACTCCGATCAGATTTGAAATAGCACGTGATCCTTACTCCGTTATTGCACCTTAACCGATCATCGAAATCTTATTCCGCACTTGCTTCCTGCCCTTCAGCAGAAGACGGCCGATGCTGGGAAGGAACGCGTCTGTCCGTGTCCTCTGCTATCACTTACTGAATATGGACTCCGAGAAACAGGAGCACAGTGCTGACAGATACCGTCTGTCCAGCATCCCCGTGTCGGCTACGGGTTCTCTTATTGCGAAATAACGGCGGACTTGCTTGCTTCACCTTGCTTTCTTATACTATTGCGTTCTAGAAGCTGGTATTCAAAACCTGGAAATTACAGAAACATTGTAGCGCATGAACATTCTCAACGGGCCATGCTATCGAAACCTGGTTCTACGCGCGAGCTTACACTGGGGCTAAAGAAAATGGGACTAACACGACGAGCAACCGATTGGCACACTAGGCTGCTTTACTTCAATTCTCATTCGGGAATACATTTTTCTGTGCCGCAGGAGACCAGAAGAGGTCGAGCGTTTCGCGTCTCATTCGATCACAGTAAGGTTTCAAGAACTAAGTTCACTGACCTGTAGCTTATATTCTATCCACATTCATTACAGTCATTTCCAACTACTCCGACTTCTAGCTCTATTTGATGAGGAGGGAACTCGCGCTGTGACGTACGCAAGCATGGACAAGTTGACGCTCTTCTTTCAATACCAGGCGCTATTTTTCATTCAGTGATTTATTGCTCTCCGTGAGACTTACTCGGCCTCTGCTCAAGACACCTTGCAAGCTCAGTATTTATCAGAAAGGGATCTCCTTGTTCTGATTTACCGCGCTTGCAGATCGTTTGAACTCGTCGTACACGCTCGGCCTTTCTACTTTCGTGCATCTCGTGTTCACGCCGGTCGTTATCGGGAGAGGCGCCTTATGCACATCAATCAGCAGTTTATGCATGAAACATATCTGACATGGTTTGTTCCATAGCTTCGGCTATCTGCACTGTCTTCTCATTTCTGCAACCTTGGGTAGGAGGACGATCATCGCCGGTAGCCCTTCTAGGAAACTCCCACGCACACGTTGTTATGATTAGCGTGTGAATGGGAGACGCTGAGACTGGGGTGCACTCCATCGATTCTATTCTTTGAGAGTGTTTATAAGCAAGCAAAATGACGCTCACGGTTGCCATGCTTGTTTTCGCGTTCTCTTGATCAGAACATTCCACTTACGCACATGATAAACGGACTGGGGGATATTTGTGCCGCATGCATGTGGTCGTGTCCGCCTAGTGTATATTTATGCATAAATTCATCAGTGGGTATGGATAGCGCACGACGATGAACAGGAACCCGACCAATCGTCTCGCTGCTGGCTTCTCTGGAACTTGACGCCCCTTGACGCCATTTCTGTGCTTCGACTTCTCTTCCCTGCTTTCCGAGGATTCGAACTAACCTGCAATCTCAATCCTAAATCGGGTAATGAACCTTACTTCTCGGGTTCGCACAACTTCCGCGGTCCTCCCAAACATACCTCTCCGTTCAAAGCGCATTAAATTTAAAAAAATGCTTCCGCGGACGCCTCAAAGGAACGGCAAGCGCACATAATCGATGCCGATTCGTGGAGGGCTTGCTGAAATTTTACCTCATCACCCAGGCACTTTCGATTTTCTTTCAGCGCTGTGGATCAGACAAGCCCGGACCCCGGTGACACGCTTAGTGTATGAATCTATGATGAAAGCCGCCAGCCAGTGCTGCCGTCACCTATGCAACAGTACTAAAGTGTCCAGTTCTAGGGCTCCGACAATACGAAGAATGCTTGTTGCTCAACATGTGCTGAAACCAATGACGAACAGCGATGATTTAGATTCTGCCTCATGCCATCTGGTCGTCGCGTGTTTTCAAGCCCAAGTGTATCCAGGCTACAACATACTATTCGAGGGCCAACAAGATTGTTGAGCTGCACACACTGTCTAGGATATTGTCCTGATACCCGACTTGTCCGTTTGATTGAGATCCCGCGCACATGCGTGAGAGCAGTTTGAGAGGTGGTTGTTCACCACCGCGCAGCACGGACTACTCGTCCCGTGCTTAATCCTTCAAGCTTATTGCACGAGGATGGCTCTGCACGGTGGTATTTGATATTGACGCGGCGGTGCGACACCACTGCGCCGCTGAGAGGTATGCTATGGGATGACATGGATTGCGCGTATTGTGGTAGATACGGACAGGAAAAATATGTTCACATGCTAAGATGATCCTGAGCGGGTAATTTTTGATTGTATATGTGAGTACGTCGTGTTCTACGACCGCTGTAGCAGCGCGATGCTCGCCGCCGGCCAGTTGGGCAGGACGTTTCTTCTCTTCTGTCGTGCACAAAAGTAAGCAAGTATGCTGGAGTGTGACGGTGTGTCACTAGTCCCAGCTTCTGAGCGGTGCGTGTTCTTATTCCGCCTCGGTCATGTCAAGGCTGGAGGCCCCGCAGCAGACTGGCAGGGAGCAGGACGGATTTGTTGTTGCCCTTGTCTGTCGGAAAACGGATAACGTACAGACGTAGTGTTGTTGTTTCTCGATCGTTCCGCTGGCTCGTTATGGCACTTTGGCTTCTGTCGCTACCCGCCACTGAAACAGGGAGATCGGGTCAGGGCCTGAAGCTGTGAGGGGAGATCACCTCGTCGGTTGTGATGCCCGGAGTTCAACGCAATCTTATTCCCTTTGACAACCTGCGGCGAAGCCCACCGTCTACTCGCACACTCTCCAGACGCGTCGGGCACTTCAATCTTGAGATCATCTACGCTGCTGCAATTCTGGAACACCCCTCCGGAAACTAAGAGATCGGCGCCAAATCAGGGTCGACGGAACCGCTTACTTACGGAAGCTTGCACTTTACAGGCCTTCAGATCACCTACAGCTCACGGCGCTCTATATAAACTACCATGCTCCTCCTTCCCCCGCCTCTCGTTCTCCCACCCTGTCCGTTACATTACCCCGCTCCAGAAAAACCGCTTTATCTACCTAACTCGACATGTCTTCCAAGAGAGGCAGGAAGCGCAATGACAACCTCCCTCCCAACAGAGCTCGTGACGTACAGCGTGCATTCCGGGCTAGAAGGGCTGCTCATCTCCAAGTAAGCCCAGGTGTGCTCAACTCTACGACGAGCTTGGACTAATTAATTACATGACTTCTAGGCTCTGGAGGACCGAGTTGCGGAGCTCGAGGAGGAGAACGACAACCTCCGAGCCGCCCTGAACTTGCCACCTGCAAGCCGGCCGCCTCTGGGACGCGGTCCGACAGGAAAGGATAAAGCAAAACAGTACAATAGAGCATCGACAACACGGGCCGAGTCTGTGATGGGGGAAGGCTCCGCTTCACCAAGAACGAATCACTCGTCTCCACATTCAATGAATCAACCGATTCCCTCTGGCTCTCATATGGCGAATCCAGGAAACAATTCAACGGGGATGTGGAACAACGCAATTTCGATGACCCAGCATGACGAGTATGGTTCAGAACGAGACGTCCACTCATCCATGACAGTGAACCCAACCGGCGCGTCAACATCGTACCCACCCGACCATCCGTTCCGCTTTGACGCAGGCCCGTCTACCAGGCCCCGGACGCAATTCAGCACTGCTGTATTTCCGTCCCCGGGGCCATCGGGATACCATCATTCTGCGGACCGGCCCTCTAACTCTCCTTCGGGCTTTCCGCGAGAGGAACCGTTTTACCCGATGACTTCAGTTTCATCTAGTAACAGAAACTTAGCACAATCGTCACCCGGCATGCATGCTCATTCCGTTCCACACCATATGGAGTCTGCTATGGGTGGCACGGCTCAGAACTCGATGGGGTCACACGCGTCTACATTCCCGCCTGCATCTCCAGCATCGCCGACTGGTGGACTTAGCATGTCAATGGTCACTCGAAGGTCAATTCACGATCCTCAACATGTTCCTCAGTACGTTGACCTATACTCTACCGCATCATACTCGCAGAGAGCCCAATCCGGCATTTCCCATCAACCGCACGATAGCATCAATTCCACTGCACAGAGCTCTAGATTACCGCCCAGTCACACAAGCATCTCCCGCCCTGGGTTTGCTGGGCCTGAACAATCGTCTACAGGCGAGCCATCATTTCGTCGCACGGCCTGACCCATTATTTCCTTGATGGGGAGATGGACGCTCGTGGCGACGTTCCTCGGGCCTGGCGTCGAGCTGCTTGTCTTGTTCACCTACTTATTCCGGAGAGTGCCGTGCCTGCAAAACGCCGTTCTTGGTGACCGAGCTCTGACACAGCCTGCGCCCTCGGCGGACATCCGGCGCACGTGTAATTAGCACCATACACGATCTGATAACACAGTTACCCTTTCAAATCAGATTGATAGCAACAAACGAGATGGCGGTGGGAGGCGGATAAAGGGAAAAGGAGAGTGTCTTGGGTATAACTGCGAAATTCAGGGATCACCATCGAGTCTCCAGGAGTGTAATACAAGGCCTTCCAGATTTAAGTGCTTATTCGCCGTGTCAGCGCATGATCTCATTCGCGTATCATTTTGCCTCCGCTGTCCAGCAGATCGCCGTGCTATGCCGCTGAGGATGTCCCCGCGAGCGATGGAGATGAGGTCGACAGTCATTTCGCCTGCCGACGCCACGTTTCACCGCGTTCTCCCCATTCCCTCTGTCTCTTGCCATCTGTCCATATCCCTTTGTCGCAAGCAACTATTTTATTTGAATTCCAATGGATTTACGATTTACCTTCTTTCCGTTTCGCCAGCAATTATTATTTATTTGAATTTCGTAGATCATTTCCTGTTTTGGTATAAATATAAGCACTCGAGATTGATGGCCGAAATCGCCATGGTTCAATTCTGGCCCGCTTTACCCCACTCTATTCCGATCGACCTGTCGGTCTGTCATGCCATACTTGTCATTAGCATTCGAGTTGTCTATGGAATAAATCGTGAAGCTGCATCCAGTATTTCGACCTTTTCCTGCATCATATTATTATTATTATTATTATTTACCGCCCACAATTCTATTGTGTGTCCATATTGGTGCCCAATTGTTGTTTTTCTCTATGTACTAAACAATATAAAAGGCAAGCCCGTTTACGACAGTGTAGCAACTGCACTAAACTGGCGCCATTGCCATCGTACCTATAACATCGCGTCGTGCTGCACTATACGACCGCCGTCACGCGTAGAGAAGACGGAGTTTCTGTCGTCGCATTTACTGCGGGAATTATTACGCTCGACCCTTCTTGATCATTCGCCTAGCAATCTCCCTCCTGTTTCAACGCCACCCCTAATTCTGTCGGAAGTCGTAAGAAGCATCTCACGCCCCCATCCGTGTGACGTATTTTGGACTGCTGCTCGAATGTATATGCTTCAAACACGCTAAGCATAATAATCCTTGCCTTCTGCTTGCCTTGCGTTAATGGAACGGCTGCAGTGGACTTGTATGGTATTGAAGCTGAGGTGTAGCTTCAATTCAAGCTCCTCGAGGCTTCCCACACCAGAATCCAGAATTCCAAAGAACCTGATAATATCCAGTTCCATGAGTTAAGGATTCAATTACTGAGAAGTTCAGCGGATGTATATATACAGAATGACGGGTATGCAAGACTATTGGGCTAAGTGAATAAGTGATTGTGTGAAAGGAACTGTTAGATGCAAGACATTCCAAGCATGCACACATGCAACGTTTTCCCCTTGCTCGCTTTCCTGCTGTTTTTCAAGTTACTGAGATGGGTTTGGTTCCTGTACATCCAGTGTGCACCAGTCGATAAGGCCGTCCTTCCCGTATCGCGATTCAAGCCAGTCATTGGCCTTCTTGAAGTGCCCGTTCCTAAAGAAGCCGCGTGAAGCACTTAAAGGGGAGGGGTGCTGTGCGATATCGAACATGGGCACGCAGTGTCGGGCCGCACATATACACATATAATAGAGATCATCAGTGATGTCGCGAATTACTCAAAGGGATGAAACAGTCAGAGAAACTGGTACTTACAGCACTATGAAGAATACAGTGCTTCTCCTACAATTGATGGGGTGGTCGGGAATAACGCAAGTGCGAGGAAAAATACATTTTAGTAAGAGTTGTCTTTGTTCTTCTGACGGACTGTAGGAGGAGGAAGATCTGACACACCTTGTCGAGCTTCGCGACGCGCTTTGCGGCGTCTTTTCCCCAGCATAAGAAGACTATGCCGCGACCAACCCCGTTTGCTCCGCTGAGATTTGCTCCGCCGTATTTGTCAACGGTTTCGATCACCTTTTCTGTGAAGGCCTCCCAGCCCTTCCCCTTGTGAGAGTTCGCGGCACCGCTGCGCACCGTCAATGCCGAGTTCAATAGCAGAACACCGGAGTTAGCCCAGGCGGTTAGGTTACTGTTAGCCGAAATATTCTTCAGTAACGGATGGCGATACTCGGGCATACAAGGAGAGAAACATGAAAGCGTGTGTAAGAATAGGAATGGTGTTTAGTGAGGGGATTGGGTGAGAGGAATGGGGACTGCACGACGGACGGAGCGGCCAGAACAAGCGCCGAGGGTTTGGTGCAGAAAGACATACCCGTGCTTCGGCGGAGTGAATTCTGGATATTCATTCCTGATCTCCTTGTAGATCTGAATAAAAATTACGATTCATCATGCATCACAGCCATAGATATGGTTATCAGCTCACGTTCAATAGCGAAGGAGGAAGACTCTGTCCGTGGGGAACAGAGAAGCACAATCCTATAAAGAAGGTATGTTAAAACTGCCGTTTGTCATTTCACTTCTAATTTGTCGAGCCCAAGATTTCAGAGCCGATTGATATATTGGTGCTAATACATACCATGCGCCATGCCTGGAGTGTGGTAGGGGTCCTGTCCGATGATGACAACCCTGACACGGCCAAGAGGGGTCTTCGACCAGGTATAGATATTGGTTGCTAAATGATAATATTGCAGAACACGAAGCACACAAGAAAACAAGAACGTCAGGATCTCTATGTCATACTGTCATTGATCAGACGCGGTAGGACATACGTAGTGGGAAGATATTTTTTGTCACGTCAGTAGGGCCTTTGACGCCCTCGGACCACAGGAATTTCTTTAATGCGATAAAGTAAGGCTTCTTTATTTCATCTTTAAGAACTTTGAGCCTGACAAATTTCTTTCATAACTGTCAAGGCGGGAAGATGACAGCGATCGCTTACCAACTCTTCCCCATCGTTTCGCATTCTAGACTCAGTAGGCTCCTCTGCTCCTCTGTCAAGGAGTCCATGAAGGCCTGCATGGAAAAGGGGATAGAATTGAGGGGCTGCAAATCACTGGTCGCAAATCGTGCCGTAGTGGAGCCGATAGACTCTTCTTTAGCATTTAAGGAAGCAACTGTCCGATCGAGCTTTTGCTTCTTCACTGTTGGTTCCCCCGATGTGACACCAGCCATTTCGACGAGTGTTCGCTGCCGCTTCCCCGCTGTAGCCGAGGAAGCGACTTTTGTATTTGTGACTTTGACAGGCAAGGGCACATTTCCGCCCTTTGCAAGTGTCTCTTTCGACTCGGCGTTCTTTTCCTCCGACTTCTCGAGATACGCGACTGTCTCAGTGGTGTCCGACATTGATGACACGACGCGTCGATGTAAGATAGATAGACAGGACGATGAGGGATGTGGGTCAAAGAAACAGCGATGCCCGAGGGGAAAACGCGTAGAAAGAGCGCGGCGGACTGAAAAGAGTGATAGCAGGATGGGCAGACTACCGTCAGGCGCGTACACGGTCGCGTCTGCAGTGATCGGCTGAACGCGTACTGAAAGCCTAAAGTTAAAGACGCCGCGCACGTGCTGATTCCAAATGGGCAACCGAGCCGGGAATGCCACGGTTCCCGGCGTTCGCGTGTCGGGACGGTAATACTAATGCGACACGGTCAGCGGTCAGTGGTGCTGACAACTCAACTTTTCTCTACCATCACCCCGCCACTATCCCTACATTGTACCACTTTGCGTCAAGCTGGGTCGGTCGCGCTCCTCTCCGTCTCCCCCAGGAGAGCGTGACATCTCCTCGAACACAAGGGCTGGCAGACTCACACGACGCCGTCCACCTCCGCCACTTAATGGGCTAAAGGCTCAGGCGAAACCTGCCTTGGACTGGAGTACAAGCTACCAGGCGGGATCTTCTAGGTAAGCCGCTTTATAATTAGGTCATCGTGCTGCCACTTATGCGCAGTTATTAGTTCTCAGTCCGGTGAGAGCTCAAGTTCTGACAGCGAGGTGGAACGTCAGCACGCCCGGGCGCAGTCGCAAGGCAACAAGACTATTCCGAATGGCAACTCATCGCCCCTACTGCAGCCTCACGCTGAATCTGATCACTCGAGTACGGGCAGCTCCCCGAAACTTGTGTCCTCAAATCTGCCTCCGCGCAGGTCGCGCTCTCCCGTGATAAAGATACTGTCCGCATATTCCCAGCCACAAGCTAGACGCACCGTATCGCCCAATGCTCCAGCACGCAGTAAAGCCCATGGTCATCATTCAACGTATCGTTATCTCCTTCCGAACACATTTTGCGTTACATTACCTTACCCATCGGGAAGACGGAGCGTGAAGGTCTCCGGAGACGTACGAAAAGCCGGTGAAAATATCATGTTATTACTTTCTTTGTTATACGGGATTCGAAAAACTTGGGATACTTCCGAAGGCGGCGATAACTGGATTGCATTTGGTAAGCTTTACGCATTTCCCACCGAAGCCACTGAAACCAATGTTACAAAAGAACTGGCAGGAGTTATTTTACTTTCTATAATTTATCTCATTTGGACACATCTTTCATACTTTTCTCTTCCAAAACCTCTGCCGACAAGGCGTTCCTCGTCACAAAGCCGCCACCGCTACCGGTCCTCATCTCCACAAATAAATAGAAGATCAACTACATTATTTAACGCATTTCCGGTCCGAAAGGACGATTTTGGTTATATTTGGATGACAGTACCCAAAAACTATAGGTAAGTTTCTTTCGCCTTGTAAGCACACGCTGTTGGGCTAAAAACATATCTAGAGAAAGTACAGACGACGGTGTCCTTACGGCTTTACTTATAGGACCTTTGATCTCGACAGCTTGCTTGTTTGCTGCTAGACAGAGATTACTTACTACATCTCCCTCGACCACATATCTTCCCCAATCATGGCTCATTGAAGCACCAATCACTCTGCGCCGTCTGGATGCATGGAGCGTACTAGATTCATTGCACCGCTCGCGTCATGCACTGGTGCAACTTTCCAGCCTTACCTCGTCGTTGCTCCTGGTCCACCTTTTCTCATCTCGAATGTACGAAAGTTACCATCGGTCGCGGAAAACTGTTCCGGAGTCAGAACGGGCAAGCGTACCACGGAGCGAATGGCTAAGGTCAAGATTGTATATTGCGTTCTCGACAACAGTCTCGCTTGCTGCACTTTCCGTAAAATTCGGATTTGTCTATTCAGGCCTTGGAATCTGGAGGGGTGAGTTGTGAGTTTCTTGTAACAATAAACAAGTATTCTAAAGACTTTCTAGACCTATCTTACTTTGACGTTGCTGCTGTCTCTGCATTTTACCAGCTGACTTTGTACATGGCAATTCGGCTTGCACACCATAGCTTCACCTTGGGTGAACTGGGGCTTGCCGCTTTTGGTGCTGCTATATTGTTTATGGAGAGCCTACATGTTACAATTGCAAGAGTGAGTGGCCACTACGCCTTTCGTACTTTGGGCATGACCTTACTGCTGTAAAGATATGGCCAGTTACTACATTGTACCTGAAGACCTTTCGCCTCCCCACTCCTCTACTAATACTCCAGTTAGCCCTCATTCCTGGATCCATTCTAGTTGGTGCTCTCCTCGCACCATTGCTGTATCTTTCGCGGCACATCGCCCAACGCCCACTCCGCAAACTCCGCTTTCCCGAGGAGAAGCGAGTACATCGTCGGTTCCTTGCCCTTGGTTTCTATCTCGGAGCCGCTCTCATTATCGGCGGTCTCATTGGCATGTGGGCGCGATGGTGTCTCGGTGGACGTGATCCTTGGACTTGGACGATCCGGTGGATCCTCCAGGGGAAAAAGAAGTGGACCCGACCGCTTCTCTTAGCATACTGGGGTCTCCTGGTATGTGTAAGCGTTGCAGGCTGGGGCAGACGACTCTTTCGCTCGCGGAAGTACAGGCATTCGGTCGTCCTACAACCCGCAACGGGTATCAGTGTGGAGTCTTCACATCACACTGGCCAATCGTCAGCCACACCGTCCACTCCTCCTTTTGCATCGGGGGTGATTGCTAGTTATCCGGATGCGACTTCAGCAGGTACGAACTATACAAGCCCGGCGTCGAGCGGTGCACACAACTTAGTTCCGATTCTCCCAAACGGGACCAATGTGTCTGTGTCGGGTGTTGCCACAGACCTTTTGGATGCGGCAGACAAAAGGATGCCTTCGTTAGGCTTAAATTCGAGAAGGAAGTTTTTCCATGCCCTTGCGGTAATCATGTTCGTTCCGGGTATCGCCATTGACGTGAGTTACCTTGCTAGTATCCTGTTTCATCCTGGACAAAATAATATTGACCGGCTCTTGTCCGACCGACTGTTACAGCCTGCCTTCACACATCTCTCTTTCAGCGTAGCCTTTGCCATTTTCACGTTCGCAGAGTATATGCGATATTTTGCGCTGTACCCGTTCGGTGCTGCGATTCACGTGTTTTTGACGGAGTTTACGGATGATAAAGATAGTGGAACTGCTATTTTGAGTCATTTTTATTTGTTAACAGGGTGTGCTAGTACCGTTTGGCTGGAAGAGTGCGTTGATTGTCGTCGCTATTCGACCGTCTCCGTTGCTTTAACTGAGTCTTTTAGTTATTCGAAGTTGCTCAATTTCACCGGAGTACTTGTTTTGGGTATAGGCGATGCAATGGTCAGTCATTCCCATCGAATCATTCTTGCCCACCCCTAACACAATGAGACAGGCTTCTATAGTCGGAAGGCGAATAGGCAAAACACGCTGGTCCGCAAGCTCGTCCAAGACTCTAGAAGGCAGCGCTGCCTTCGTCGTCTCTGTCGTTATCTGCGCGTGGATCCTTCGGCTCTGCGGTCTGGTCGAGTCTTTCAGCACGGTTCGGTATACGGCGGTTGTTACGATCGCTGCTGTTCTTGAGGCGCTTTCGGTTCAGAACGATAATTTGACGCTGCCTTGGTATACGTGGAGCATGCAGATATTGATGAGTGTGCGATAGGCGTCGTGTATATTTTCCTTTTTGGTTATATAGGGATGGTGTTGTTGATCTAGTGTATGAAATTTGAGAAGTTTGGTATGCGTAAATTGGAGTTATAACGTTGGCCATGTTTTAGGGATCGTGTGAGTTCGTTACCTTTCTATGGCTCTCGTTGAATCTCACAATGATGTACCCACTTCGCTTTCAGGACTCTATGAGGCGAAATATCTCATCTAGACTTGTCAACATACATATAACTTCAGACCTGATCAGTCAAAGAGGAGGTTGCCCAGACCAATGCCCTTGCATGGGTATCTTTTCCCGGATGCCATGGACCTCTTGTCTGTCTGTCTTTGGGAATACTAATGCACAATTTACTCAGCCCTCTGCATAAGCGTCTTCGTCCAAGGACACATGGGCACAAGTTGCTTGGGCCTCTCTGCATGCGTCTCTCTCCAAACGTCAAAGATAACTGATGCATCTATACTTGGGAAGACCTGTGCACAAAATGCCAGCTTTCTGCTTGAGCGTCTTTGTCCGAAAGTCAAGGATGACTTACTGTATCTCTCTGTCTCTAGGACTGCCTGCACAGATTGTTCAACCCCCTGATCGAAGTGTCTCTTCTTCCAAGAGCTAAGGAGTAGTGAACTTTGTCTGTCTGTGTATCTCTGGGAATACTTGTGCTTAATTTGCTCAGGTTTCTGCATGTGGGTCTTGTCTGGAATTCAAGGAAGACATACCTCTCTATCTTTGGGAATAGCTGTACGCGAATTTTTCAGGCCTTGGCATGTCTGTTTGCCCGAAAGTCTAAGATAACTTTTGCCTCTATCTTTGGGAAGACTTGTACCCAAAGTGCCAACCTTCTACATGAGCGTATTAGTCCGAGTGTCAAGGACAACTTACTGTATCTTTTCTGCCTTCAGGATTGCCTGCACAAATTGTTCAACCCCCTGATCAAAGTGTCTCTTCTTCCGAGAACCAAGGAGTAGTAATTCTATGGAATCGAAAGCACAAAACTCAGTCTCTCGGCGTGTGAATTCTGGGCGCTACTATCGCATGTGTAAGGCGCTAATCTGTTCAGTACCAGGCTTCCCTCGTGGCGCTGTAGTATGGAAGCCAAATACTTGTACTTGTCTATCAAAAGGTTGTACCCTATTTTTCACTAACCGCGCAGTGCTTCGTAGATGTGGTTTGATAACTTTCTCAATTCGAAAATCGCCTCTTTAGAGTTGACACTGGCTCCTCAACGCCAGACTCGTGTTGAAAATTTCATGAATTTTAATCGGAGCAGTTAATTTCAATTTGAGGCTTCTACAAATCCCGGCGTCTCCAGGAGCCTCTTCGTCTGAAAGCCACAGGAACCTTTACTACACTATCGAAGCCTGGACAAACCTTAGTGCTCTAACCTACACAATGATAAATTGCTCTTGCTTTAAAATCGAGAAAGTCCATCACCTTTTGCGCAGCTCCAAATCAGTCTCAGTAATTTATCAGACTCGATCATCTGGATACATACTCAGGTTTTTCTTCATCCTTCGTACAGGTAACTTCCAGATTTGATCGGTCAATCCGAGGCCTCCAGAGGTTAAATGCTTTTCGCAGGAGTCCTTTGTCCGTAAAACAAGGAGAACTACGCTCTATCTCAAAGGACGATGCTGTACAATCAGCTGGGCGTCTGTGATTTGGTTGTTACAATTTGCACGGTGCCAACCTTTTTGAACCTCATTCAGCACACTAGATGGCAGTGCTATACTAGCGTTAACCTCTACTTTTTTTATATGTTGCGTATTCCCTTACACAAGTCGTAGCTGGGTCTTCTACGTTAGTCTCCGGCTCAAATGTATGCCCTTACTCTAAGAAATAGCTTTAAACATCCTTATAGCAAACTCCGTTTACTAACCCAACACATAATTTTCGATGTACACCCAATTACGTAGATGACTTTGCGAACATGATTTAAAACAGTGAATTCATGCGTATCGTCGAGCCTTGGAGATTACGGATAACTTCAGGCCTGATCGGTCCACTCGAAGCAAGCTTCGACAGGTTTGACGCTTTCGATGAGTCTCTCCGTCCGAGAACCAAGGAGAGCTACAGTGCAATCCGCTAGGAGTAGCCACTACAAACTCACCTCTGTGAATAACACGGGCGGTAATCATTTTGAAGCATCTTAGTGGCTGATATAGCTGTGATTGCGCATCCAGCGAACACGAAGACATTGTTCCCTTTTTTCCCTACTATGTGCTGCCTCTAGGGGTAGTAGAAGTTTCTCGATTCAAGACTACATCGTCGTGCATGACGATGTCAAGATAAGTATTGACCGAAGGGCTATCCATGTCAACTGTTGGTTACCAGGAGCTCCAGACTCTGATTGACTCTTGTGTACAGGTTCGGTAATTATAAGACAGCCATAGGGTGAAATCCGACTCTATGCAGAAAGAGTCCGAGTGCGGTGCGGTCTGATCCGGTCGGACATGATGCCTTCATCTCGGAGTGGCAGAGTGCCTGTGAGCGCGCGGTTAGCGCCAGATGGCAATATTCATCAGGTCCTCTTAAGGAATGCCGTTCTCCACAGCCAATATGTCAGCTGTGCCTACTTGGAACGGCTGGACAGAAGACATAATAAATCCGCATTTTTCAAGAGTCCAAGGCATATCAAAGACCCGATTGCCAAGGTCTGAAGTTTTCGTACGAAGACTACACTGGAGTCGTTGAGCGCCAGAGCTTAATCCTCCTTGTGAATTCATCATGGTGTGCTGAGGACAAGCAAGAACATCCGAGCTAACGACCTTATGTGTTGATTTGATAAGTAAAAAAATATATCACGTGCCATACAACTCGTACAGATTAAATCTTCATACATGTACGTGCTGACCACGCTCGGCCTTAACGCAGCGTTCCATATATTGTGAATGTGGATTGCACTGGTTCGGAAACAATAGCGTCGCGTGAGGCTCGTCATCGTGCGGAGCCACCGAATAATATTAAGGCCTTAGTCTAATAGGCTCGAACAGATGACCGAAATTAACGGAACGCTTGCACCAAATAGACCCGCCTGTGACCAGATTAGGGTGTATCGTACTGACATGACCAAGGTAAACCGCGCTTATTACAGCGTTTCCGGAAAACTATGAGAGTCGCGTTGTTCTTTTTTTCCCCCTTGCCACCTGCCTTATTTGGCAGGTGACTTGCCAAGCAACATACACATAGCTTGCCATACAACAATAAAGTACTGTAGTTGCCTTCATAAGAATTTTCAGACACTCCCTAGTATCATAAGACTAAAATAGCAAATATATTAGGTTAACAGGACTGTCTTAGAGGATGCTAGCTTCTTAACAAGAGTGGTACAATCATTCAAACATGTAACAACAAAAAAGAGGTAATTCTGTCAATATTATAGAGGGAAATTGTAATTGAAAAGGTTCAACATATGTTTTAATGTATAAAAAGGTGTATATTAAGTGGAAAAACAGTACAGAGGTTTTGTATGTGTCTAAACAAAAAGGTGGTTGAAGTCACCTGCCTCATTTGGCAGGTGGCAAGGTGGAAAAAAAAACGACGCGACTCTCATAGTTTTCCGGAAACGCTGTAATCTAATCAGGCCCGCTTCAGAAGTTAGCGGAGACTTGAGAGCAAAAGCGACAAGCCTCCGACTGACCGGATGTCGGCGAGTCGGTCCCGTCGTCCTATCTTGTCCTCTATTGATCGTCTGACTGGAACTTTATCCTCTGTCTGAATGCAGTTAAACTACTTCCATGTTGTCGGCCATGAATCGACGGAAGTAAAAAACTGCCGGCTTGACTACACAAATGTGGACAGATGAAGAAAAAGAGGGAGAGGGAAAATAGGTATCTGCTTGGAAGCCATTTTGCCAACTACTACCCACACTATCGCGCGGTATTAATGTGTTTTTGGTTCCAGATATAATTTCTGCCTGCTCGTCCAACATTCCGGTAAGCAATTAGTGCGGTGAAACTCTCACGATTACCGGAATGCCTAAATAGTCAGCGCCAGCCTATTCGGATTGACGGCGGCCACAAAGTCTCTCTTCAGGGATTCCGAGCAGATGCTCATTGTTATTACTCGGAATGCATTAAAGTAAGTTTGTGGATTTCCACTGTTTCGAACCCGCTCGTCTCATGTTGTACACAGCTCGTTTCAGTGTGTGCATTGCTCTTGATCATTCCAGCACTGACCGTGCACGCGAAACGTTACGGGCCGATCATTGATTTGATTGACGCCATCGGCTTGCGGTACCACTCCGATCATTTCAGGATTCGGGATCGAGCGCACGCAGCGTGTTAATATGCATACCAAGTTGACACCGTTGAAAAAAAAAATGACGACGAAAACATCCCGCACATATCCCGAGCCGGTCATTTTCTTCGGCTCTTAAGCCATGCTGTAGCGATAGAAGAAGAACGTCAAATTGGCTACAGAAGAACAAATATCCGTTGTTCGCGACTTGAGACTTGAGGTCAGTTGCCAAACTTTCTCTTCCTCCTTAAGAAAGAAGGCCCCTTTCGAGAAACCAAGCACTGAACGCGGTAATTACAAGATAAATGATTCAATCTTACATGGTCGCGAGGTGATCCAATTAACTGCTGATCGGCGCAGTTCAATATAGATAACTTGCTTCTTAATGAATCATACCACAATATACGACAGAGGAGATAGGATTCCTTTTTCAACCTTTCTATTCTTTCTTCGAGAAAGAGACATTACAATCCAGACGATAAAGCAGCAACGTTTTATCCCGCATCATTGAAGGGAGTATCTACTTCTAAGGACCTCCGGGTTGATTATTCTCCGAGCTGAAGACTGCAGCACCATTGCATTGGAGATGCATTTCTGAATACAAAGAAAGACCTTCGGCTTGGAGAGGAACAGAGAAAATGCAGTTGAGCCAAGATCTGGATATGCTAGGCGGGTTTCATTTGGGAAGAAAATTCACAACATGGTATTTGTATTTCTTCACTGTTCCGTAGTCTAGACTAGTATTAATCGGCCACTGTCCGTTCCTCTGCTTGATACGCGCAATCATTCCCATTGAAACCCCAACGAAAAGCAACTGGAACTGTGGCGCAATTGATATCTAAATGTAAGCTTAACTATAATATCTGTATCTACATGCTTCGTACGAAGAGGAAGTTAATCAACCCTGAAGAGTCAGAGCCAGTATCATTTGTAATGACTAACGCCATTACCATTGTGCATCCCTGGATGTCTGATATGCATAACATAACAAAGTGGCTTCTCACAGATGAGACTGTTTAAAATGAGTGACTGCACGTTGATGGCATTAGCGTGCTGTGTTACTTACGAGAGAGATCAACTGGAGATGTAAGAATTTGCATTTGTGTATAACTAATTCAGAGAAGAGAAACCCATTGGTATTTTTAAATATTATAGTATGGAGCATCCTATCAATGAGAATACGTATCTCACGAACCAGCTGGTCTGCTGTGCTTGTTTAGTATTTTCTAGTCCCTTCATTTTTCTGCTTTGATATTATTAGTGTTCTACTTGTCACAAGGGCCCCCAGACTCCCATGGGTGGGTCGGGATGATGTGTAAATATACGGGCATTTCCGAATGATACTGCTACTAGCACTGGCTTCATTTCAATGCAGCTCTGGAGGAGTGCTAGTGATAACAGTGCATTTTGATTTATTCAACTTTGACTGGCGGCGTCTCGCCGAATTTCGGTAGAAAGCGCGTCTATCATTTCCCGTACTCCTCCTACGGACCTAGCCGGATCGCCACCCACCCGAACCTCCGTCCATCATCTCATCTCCTGTTCTCTTCATTTCCTATCACATTCCGCCCAGCAATTCCGCAGTCCCAGTACCCGAATTCAGGATGCAACATAACCGTTTTGGTTCAGCTTATGTATTTCGATTCGCTTAGTTCCTCTACTGCGATCAGGCTTGGAATTCTTGTGCTTGTTAGATTGTGGTATGTTGCCACTTGGCTTGCACCAATGCTCTCTGCAGATTATCCCGAATATGTCGGCGCCAGTATACGCGGATCTCGTGGCGCGTCCAAGTGAGTCAGCGAAGGGGATAACACAAGGACTTCCCCGAACGGCCGACTCGTGCCCTTTTCGTTTGCTTCCGGACTATGCGGAGTGTACACGAACAGCAGCTGTTACCATCTCGTGAGTTGTGCAGCATTGTTGCAATCACTATTCATCGAAAAAACCGGTACACAACTACAGAGCAGACGTGTAGATCATCCTAGCATGGATATTGAGTTCCAAAATGGCTTAATCGCGTCGTAGTGAATCAATTAACACCATGTGTATCCTGAATGACTATTTTGCTCGTCCGGAGCATTTGTCACGCTATTGCAATCCGAAATGGCCGGGATACAAGCGATTCCGTTCCAATACGAGCAAATGTTGGAGTCCGCCAGTGGTCAACCACCGAATCCGTACCCTTGAGGTCCTCATCACGTCGCGGATCACGTTGGTCCAATATCTAATTGGATCTACATTCGTCATGCTCTGTCAAATCTCCGTTGGCCATGAAGACCCCGATCTCGGCTCTCACGTCCTTCGTATTTCATAGCTTTCTCCTGAAAATTTCCGTAAACGCCTAAGCGTCTCTCTTCAGTTCCGTGCACCATGTCCTCGGCTTGCCTGTCCGCTGCAGTGCAAGCATGCTGCCTAATCATATTGGTCTAATGAATAATTTCCCGGTTCTCGTTCTGCTGGTTTCATGAAACACCTGGGACGGGGATCTGCAAGTCATATAAAGAGGCAGTATCTGAAGGGCAATATCCTCATCAAGTCATACACCACAGCCCTCTCAGCCCTCTCAGCCTTATCTACGCAGTCTACAGACGTTTGACACCTACCTCAAACATAGAGATGGACGCCTCATCTTCTACGCCTATTACTTTCAAGCTCCCCGATTTCGTCGCCATGTCCAAGCTGACCGCGTCGGTCAAGCCCGATTTCAAGCGCGCCGGTGCAGATTCACTCGCTTGGTTCGACTCCTTCAATGTTCTCTCTACGCGAAAACTTGAGATCTTCATCAAGTCGGACGCCGACCTTCTTGTGGCGTACACTTACCCTTACGCTGGGGACGAAGAGTACCGCACATGCCTGGACTTCATCAGTCTCCTTTTCGCGCTGGACGAGATCACCGACGACCAGAACGCCGATGACGCGCGAAAGACTATGATATCTTTCCTGAATACACTCGATGGACAAGAGTGTGACGGCTCTGTTATCTCTCGCATGACTGCAAGGTATGCACCCCCTCCTCCAGCATGCATTCATAGCCCCTTTACTCATGACCACTTGTGCTAGTTTCCGATCGCGTCTGCTTCTCAAAATTGGTCCACGATCGATGCGCCGTCTGGTCCAGGCTTGTAGCTCGTACATTGATGCAGTCTGCCAAGAAGCGGCCCTCCGCGAGCGTGGCGAAGTACTTGGGCTCGAGGAGTACCGCGTCCTGCGTAGAGAAAACATTGCCCTCCGTCTATGCTTCAGCCTTTTCGAGTACTGCTTCGGTTTTGATCTGCCTGACGAGGTGTGCCCACTATTCTCCCCAATCTAAGAGATCTCTCTTCTGACAAGTCTATTATCTAAGGTCTTTGAAGACCCTGCATTCATTCGCATGTTCTACAACGCAGTTGACATGATCGCTCTCTGCAACGTGAGTTTACTCCCTTTTCACTGCAACGTAGAACGGACACTAAAAATGGGTATAAAAAAAAGGATCTGTATTCCTACAACATGGAACAGGCACGTGAAGGCCACTCATGCTCAAACATTGTTACCGTTATCATAAAGGAAAAAGCGCTTTCTCTCCAAGAGACTGTTGACTTCGTTCGCGATGAATTTGAGTCGTTGTTGTCCGAGTTCTCCGAAGACAAGCAGACTCTCCGACCGTTTAGCAAAGAAACAGACGAAGATGTCAAACAATTCATTAGCGCACTCGAAACTTGGATTATCGGCAACATCTGCTGGAGTTTTGCGACTCGTCGGTACTTTGGACGTGAGCACGAGGAGATTCGCAAGACCCTTGTCGTGGAACTCGCGGACAGGATCGAGTAAACGTTCTTGCCTTAATCGACTTTGAAAAAAAAAAAGATACCCTGTCCAGCCGTAATTTACACCTCACGAGTCACGAAGTTCTTCCGCACTTAATTATTACTATCTTCACATTCATAACTTATACATACTTTGCATGAACTCTTTTCCTTCTTGTACCTTCATTTCGACTTTTCTCGGACTATGCATTACTATTGTGGATTCCCCTCTCCTTACCCCTTCGTATGTATTTATTGCATAACTTTTTTGTTTACGCCGGGAGGCCCCGTTAATAAATGACGTTTAAACTACAACCTAACTTCCACTCTTAAGAAGAAAGAAGCACGGCCAGATTTTGCAATCGGCAAGATGGGGTATAATTTTAGATATAGACCCAATCAAAAAAAGTGTAAATCATGACGTCGATCTTCCTTCTTCGCCTTTTTCGCCTAATTAGCCTTTTTCTCCGCGGGAAGCGAAGTTTGCTGTCTTTTTTGAAAACAAGCATTCTTACGTCTCTTCGTCTCCGTTCGTTATGTTGTTGTGTTTTTCCGTTCGTTAATTAGTGTCTTTGCAAATTCCGTCATTTCAGGAGAGGGCTGCATCGGTCAAACGAGATTCTGAATTGCCGAGCCCACGATTGATTCTGTTGGGGAGTTTCCGTTTCAGATCCCCCTCCCTCCATCCCTTGCTTGTGTAAGTTGACGGTTGCGACGTACGTGGTGCATCTTGTGTGTGTGCCTTGATTGGTTGACTTTGTTTGAGTTTGCCCTGCCTCTTGTTCGAGTCAAAAGATGCTGAAGCCTGGAGCTTCTTAACTTGCCGATAAACGCCTGTGGCTCTGCCGGCTGTCAAAAGAAAGCAACTATGCATTCTTGCACTGATCTCTATGTATCTGGTTATGCATAGCTTTGGGATTTCATCATGCCACTATGATTTTGGGATTTATAATATTGCAAGAAACGAGTCATACATAAAACAAGATGGACAAGAAGATGACGCATGTAAGTATGTGGTAAGATTCTTTATGATATTATATCTAATTCACAATTCATTATTCAATACCTCCTCGGATTGGACCAAAGAGTGGAATCTTTTTTCAAAAGAATCAAGAACCAACGCAACCAATATCCACGCAGCAACTTATGCGAAGCCAATCGGTGCTCAAGGTTGTCCGTCCGTCCGCCGCCCAATCGATATTGATTTCTTTTACACATACAACCACCTTCCGCGGTTCTCAGCCCAATCGGCGAGGTCGATAGGAGCGGCATTCTCGAAGACAGAACGCAACGAGGTAGGTTGCGCCGCAGCACTTACATTCACACCGGTTGCATCTGGAGTCTCTGGTGGCGTCACCGGAGCATCGTACGCGCTAACACGGGCGTCTTCCGATAGGCCATGTGGTGATAACACTCCTACACCAGATCCGCCGACCGATGTTAGATACGGTTCGAAACCGTCTGTACGAAGCTCGCTCATTAGTTGACGTAGTTTATCATCTGAGAAGCCTATTCAAGATGAAATGAGTTAGGAACCAGTGAAAAAGCACGACGGATTGTATTCGAGGGTACTAGAAGAAAAAGAATGGTGGAGACGACACGAACCATCTGGAACTAGGGTGACCGCACATCCACCACCTCCGGCTCCGGTGAGTTTCGACTGCAGGCCGTATCCAGCCGTCTTAGATTTGATTGCCTCAAGAGCAGGATGAGACACGCCAAGGTCGCGCAAGTGTACGTGATTTTCGTTAATTAGGCTCTGTCAACAAAAATGCACAACGTCGGTTTCAAATGGTCTCCGTGGCAAGTGTCCCAAAGAGACGTACTCCGATTGCCCTAATCTGCTCTTCACGTGGAATTTCCGGATCAGCCAGAAGGCGACGTGCTTCATCACTGATTGCCTGGATTGCTTCCAATATCCCATTCACATATTCGGGTTCCTGAAAAATGACGGAGATAAGAAATGCAATTTCTAAATCCGAAAAGTAAGTTTACACAAACATTTTGTTTCTTGAGGCCAACACCAGCGACAAGTGCCTTAGTGTTCCTGGGGACCTTAGTATCAATAAGCAAGAACCTCAATGACTTGAACCTGTAACAATCAAAATTTAGTGTACGCGTAAGTGTGAAATTTCGATTACGTACCCTTGAATGGGCTCCATGCCGCTCTTCCTCTCAAAGCCAGGGCGGGTGTATGCAAGGGCGCCTCCAAATACAGATACACAATTATCTATTCCACTAGGGTTGCCATGCAGTACTTTCTCCGCAACGAACGCCCAACGATTGACCTCTTCCGCCATGTCCGACGGAAGCGCACGTCGTCCCTGGTGGCTCACATGCACATGACCCGGATCTTCAGCGCTTGCTGGTGGAACTGACGGAGCAGGACGTGGTGGTACTTTGATACGCCTCATAACGAGTAATAGGGCGCTAGCAGCGCACGAGGAGAAAGATGCGGAGGAGCCAAGGCCTGCTCCAACAGGAAGTGTACCGCGAGCGCTGTAATGCAATGCAGGGCGCGCATCATGTGCAAGTGTCATGTAGAGATAGAGGAACGTCAATGCGGCATTACGAGCTGTTGGGACGTCGTGTATCGAGACTGGGAGAGCCCGCGAGGAAATCGCCTCAATCAGCTTGGGATCGAGTGTATCTGGATGATTTGTTCCGGGCGGGACATGTGTCGCTGCATCCCAGGGCAAACTGTTGATGTCCCACTCATGGTAGTAATCGTCGAGGTCCGAAAAGCGTACAGAAACTTTGTTATCGTGTCGGGGTGCGGTTAGACCATAGCAACGCAAGTCCACTGAAGCAGCAAGGGCAGTCTAAAAATACAGAATGGCATTTCTTCAGGAGGAATAATATATTCCTAAACAGGATACTTACGACACCATGAACGACTGCATGTTCTCCGAACAATATCACTTTGCCCGGAGCACTGACAAACCATTCTCTATCATCCTTACGACGCTCTTCCGGTTCATTAAGGGCAAGTTTCTCAACTGCGCGACTGATCGTGTGGCTTTCACGTTTCAAAGATGCTCGAATGTAGTGATGACCATCGACACCTTGTTCAAGTGTAATAGCGCCTGCCTCAAGCAGTGCGTGCTCAAGATCATCAAGAAGATCAGCAGGGTCCTCAATACCAACGCACAGGCGGATAAGGTCTTCCGGAAGTCCACGAGCTGCGCGCGTAGCAGCATCAATCGAGGCGTGCCTAGGATTAGGATGATGAATAAAAGATATGAATATATTACTATGATAGGATTGAAAGTAGGAAAACTTACGACATGACACAAGGCATGCTAATGAGCGAGTTTACGCAACCAAAACTGACGCTGATGCCCCAAAGGCGTGTCGCTCCAACAATGCGCTCGCTGAGCGCCTTATCACCGGTCTCAAAACTCAACACAGCACCTGGGCCACTTGCGATGCGTTCATGTACCTCGCGACGAGGATGATTTTTTAAGCCCGGATAGTGAACAGTAAAACCGAGACGATCAAGCATGGTTGCGACAGCCATCGCAGAAGACTGCTGACGGTCCATGCGTACCGCGAGCGTCTTGGTTCCACGCAAGAGCAGGAATGAATCAAACGGCGATAGACCATTACCGATGGAGTTTATAATAGAGGCTATTTGCTGTACGGTTGTCAGACCACGATTGTTCGGAATGAAAGTAAAATTGGTTAAGCTAAGGACATACCTTTCCGATATCATCGCGATTACAAGTGATGATTCCCGCCATAAGATCGTGATGTCCGGAGAGATATTTTGTTGCGCTGTCGTAGACGATATCTGCACCATGCTCAAGAGGCCTCTGCAAGTAAGGGCTCATCATTGTGTTATCGACGACAACGATCGCCTCCGGAGCGCACTCCTTCACATCAGCGGAGATCTTCGCTAGGTCTGCAATTTTAAGCAGCGGGTTGGTCGGACTCTCGAGCAAGACCATAGCTGTCTTTCCGGTCTTAATGTATGGCAGGATGCTTTCTGCATTTGTAGTGTCGACATGGTGAACAATAACACCGCCGTGCGACTTGAGATAATTTAGCAGGCGGTTCGTACCGCCGTACAAATCGTCACCAGCAATGACCTCGTCGCCTGGCTTCAACAGACGAGTGATCACATCCATGGCCGCCATTCCAGACGATACGGCGAATGCATGCTCCGCAGACGACATTTTTGCCAAGTGATGTTCTGTGCGCCATCAAAATTCATTTCACGACACACAACACATACAGTACCAACGGTAAACGCTATGCAACTGACAACCAAGCAAGAAAGACAGCACTCACCGAGATGACTCCTCGTCGGATTGCCGCTACGAGTGTAATCATACTGGCCGCCAGCACCTTTGAAAGTAGCAGTCTGGTAAATGGGTACAGAACTCGCGCCATACTGATCCTTCATATCAGGGTTCTCCACAGTCGCGCATAGCGTCGCAAATCGATACGGTTTGCGCTCAGCGCGCGGAGACTCAGGTCCTGGCGTAGGTAGCTCGTTGATGCTGGCCATCGTTGTCCTTGCCTTGCCCACTCGCAGTGATGGTTGGGAAAGAAAGTGCAAGTTGAGAACGTTGGGGCAGCAGCACTGGTTTAGCCGAAGGCGGATGGCGTGCTTGTATGCAAGTTACAAAACAGCCGATGTGAGGATGTTTCCCTCACAGAATAATTTACATAAATTTCAAGGGAAAAACTTGACAATTGCAGACTTGCTACTATCGTTGAACTACTTTACTGGATAAGTTAAAGAATAATACAGGTGCACTTATTGTTTCTCGTGTAGGTAGAAACGACCTAACGTATCGGCATTTGCCGACTGACTCAGACATGTCTTGTTTGCGTAAGATACTAAGAAACACGGAAGCAAGCTGGTGGTATCCATAAAACATGCAGTAGTACATAATATGTATATTCAAAACAAATCAATTAGACGGAAGCAAAGACAATGGAACTGTGAGCTTAATTATAGTACTTTCCCTTTGGGTTGAGATGAAGCACCCTAGTACCTCCAGCAGCAACTTTCAAGTCTGGCTCTCCCATCTCCACAAGCCTCACGTTCCACCAGTTAACACGCTTTCGCGAATCCTCGTCATTGGATAGAAGTTCGGGGAAATTCCCTAGTGGTCTTCCTTCGTCGACGTCTTTATCTGGGATACTCCAAGCCTTCGTCATATTCCATTCACGGCTTCCTCGCATGTAATTTACGCTTTAAATAATAGTTAGTCTTATGAACCAAGTACTAAGTCAAAATAGGAGGGAACCCACAAGTCGTATTTCAGGAGTTGCACATCATTCGCGTTACAGACGTAAATTTGTGTCGTCAAATCATCATATGCAGGTTGTCCTGATTGTACAGCAGGTGCATGTACCCAAAGATGAAAGTGTCCCGCACGCATGATTGATCCGGCTCCATAAGGAGCAGGTACAACGGTGAGTACCTCTGCATAACCCTGATCATCGGTTGCAACACGTCCGCGCAGAGTATAGGTCCAGAAATAGTAGCCCCCGGATGAGTCGGCCTGCCACCAGTCGAGAACCGCTCCTGGAATTGGGGAACCATCTGGAGCGACGACACGTACTGTCATGAGGAACGGACGGCACTCTAATATATCGCTCGTTAAGTTTTACTCTTAAAAGATGATGGCTCCAAAGATGTACTTTTCAACATTGAGATAGGCGCCATGATTGCCTTGCCTTTCTCTATTTCCCTACTCGGAGAACCAATCACGTAAAATGGGCCTTGTTTACCGAAAAGTTAGGACCTCCTCGGTTGAAATAAGTAAAGCACATAAAACTAGGAAACAGACCTTCAACATCAGCATCTTTGTTGCGCCTTCCCGCAGTAAAATTCCAAACCAAAGGATTATCAGGAAGGCTCATCACCGTGAGCGACCTGATCACACTCCTGAGAAGCGTGAAATACGAGATGGAAGAAGAAACCAGTTGCATGTTAGTCGCAGACATCGTCGGCTTGCTAGTGCGGCTGAGAGTACCAAAGGAGAATGGGGAACCAGATGTGAAGGAACTTCCCATCATTTTAAATAGTTGAGCGCCTCTTGTGGTGCGCGTGATTCGCGTGTCGGTCAAGATTTCGATCGTCAAAAGGTGTTAGTCAAAGACAGCAGACGGTGAACAGAGTCCGTGGTGGCATGCTGATGTGCAATTCATTCAAGCTCAAGTTAGCTGCAAGTGAGCCTTCGCGAGGTGAAGACGTTGAAGTTATTGGTAACAACTCTCCGAGTCGGACTCCCATGTTAAAGTAATTGGAACAACTGAGAACGATAGAAGCTCTCTTTCATCTTGACTTGACTGATGAGCTGCCTGGTATTGGCCTCTGGACATATGCGCGTACCAGTGTGAGTTAAGGATGCGAGATCAACAGAGCCTTCCGGTGAATGTACTTAATTAATCATGAAATGTAGAAGGCCATTTTACCTTTTTAGTTATGATCATCGGGTGATCCCGGCCGGTAAATTCTTCCCACGCTCACGCGCTCCAGTTTCTCTAACTCAACCGTCGAGCTGGCCAATTCCCATCCATCCATTAATCCCTTTCCAACCTCATAACCGCTCTACACACCAAAAAGCAGCAGCAGCGACTATGTCCCGTCTGCTCGCGACTCTGCGCTCTGCGCGTGTGGCACAGCCATCAAAGACGCTTGGCCGCCGACTGAACTCGACCAGCTCGACTCAGCAGAAGGCGCAGGAGAAAGCGCAGGAGGCGTTGGTTGCGGCACAAAAGGGTCTTGCAAAGGCAGTGGAGGCTGCTAAGAAGGCGAGTGGTGGTGTTGGAGAGCGAGCGGGTAGCATGCTTGGATGTGCGTTACTTTTCGTTTTGTCACAAACTTGAAACTTAACAGTATTTTATTTGTTTTGCTCCATCTTCACTCCTTGCCGTGATTTCAATTATTCTGTTATGATGTTTAGCTTACCGCGAACCAATCGTATACAACCTTCAAGTAGGCCGCGAGTTGGTCAAGCAGGTGTACATCGCAGAGCGATTGCAGCCTCCGTCAATGTCTACCTTCCAGAGCGTATACCAAACGCTCTGGCAACGCACAACCAACCTGAACTACTGGCGCGAATTAGCTCGTACAGGCGAATACAAACGTGTGGGTATCTATGCATTGGAAGCATACGGGATTTTCAAGGTGCGATGCCACTTTTTTATGTTTGCGGAGCTGGAAGTTATAAACTGATGTTGTGAATTTTTTTTAGATTGGGGAGATCCTTGGGCGCAGACATCTCGTTGGGTACAAATTGGACTGATAGAGCACAATTTTTCACAATTTCCTCGTTGAGGAGTAATTATTACATTGCACATCTGCTTTCGACTTTTCTCGAGCGATAGACTACGCACTGTGACTGTACCAAAGACTCGAACCAACCAAGCGACTTGATTATTTGTTGCCAAGACCTGACATCAATGATTCTGGCAAAGCTCCGTTCAGAGGACTTTCCATCCTGCAGGGCCGGATCCGATAGATGCTGGCTGATTTCCGGCGTGCAAGAAGAGCAGCAGCCTGTGTAGCTTTGATAGCCATATTTCTTGGACGGTTCTGACTGACTGCCATTCTATCTTTATTACTCACTGGTTGTCGTGCGTTTGCATTGCATTCGGTTCTCTGGTTTTGCAGGTGTGATGGTGGTGTGTTTTCCGGTACGGATCTCTAAAAATGAATATCTTAAGCACCGAGGATTGAAGCGGCTTTTGAGGGACATCATAATGTAGGTAGGTGTGACACTGACCTTAAGCCTTAACCTCGTGCTCATACGGTGACGTATACAAAGTAGTTCAAGCTTTGATGTAACACAAAAGTATAGAGTACGGCACACACAGACTCGCAGAACGCATTATCTTCGTCCGCAAAGATACAAGATAAGCAACACTCTAGATTTGAACGGATAGTCACGGGAACAATCAACGCTTCTTTACGAGCGTCTCGTAAATATATAACTGAGAACTCGAATCTAGAGTCCTATTGTACGAACCTCTCTCGTCTTTCACCGCTTAACGCCCGTCCGCACTCACACACACAATCGTACACGTCTTAAAGCACGCAATTTTCTCAATTGAAGCTTGAAACGGGAATCAGAATGCCTTTTAGTGGTGTAGAACTCTCAGCGGCACGGTACGGCAAAGATAAAGTACGAGTTCTCCGAGTTGTGCGCGGCGAAGGATGGCACGATGTTGTAGAGTATGAAGTATGCGCGCTTGTGGAAGGTGATATTAGTACCAGGTCCGTGGCGTCTATCTAACTGAACTCTGAATCCTTCTGGCTTTAAGGGGGCTGATGAGAAATGATCTTTGAAAAGCTACACGCAGGCGGATAATAGTGTTGTAGTAGCGACTGACTCGAGTATGTCTTTTATCCGATCATAATGCACACAAGCACCTAATAGACATACTTATCTAGTTAAGAACATTACGTATTGTACATTGTTCTTCTCCTAACTGTCACACAACTGTGTGTGTCTCTGAGGTCATTTACTTACGTTTGATGTAGATATTGCAAAGACTTCGGCATTCGTACTCGTACCGGAGATCTTCGGCTTACACCTTGGCGCTTTCTTGTTGGGCAAGTACGAGCATCTGCATCGCGCGTTCATCACTGTTACGCAGCTGCGGTGGCAGAGGATTACGGTTGATGGTAAGAAACATCCAAATTCGTTTTGGAGAGACGGAGATGAGAAGAGAACTGTGAATATCGAGGTGAGCTCGGCGTTACTTCAGATAATATCAGATAAGGATAGGAGCTGAAGGGCGAATGATGATAATATTATTAGATTGACGCGACGCAAGGGAAGGACGCAATGACGGCGAGGGTGACGTCTGGGATCCGCGATTTACTCGGTAGGTTCATGTTCGGTGTATCACAGTATCACAGTATGTTTTGTGAAACAAGCTAGAAGCTGACTGCATCGTGCGTCACTAGTGCTCAAATCAACGGGATCTGCGTTCAGCGGTTTCGTACGGGACGAGTTCACGACGCTCGTTGAGGTCGATGACCGCATCCTCTCGACCTCGATTGACTTGCAATATGAATTTGCATCGATCTCGCTCGGCGAACATAAGTCGCTCGAGAAGAAGCTCGAGGAGATTAAAAAATCGCATGAGTTTGACAGATTTGCAGCGCGCGCACGCGAAATAACGTTGGCAATATTTGCGAAGGATGAGAGTGCGAGTGTGCAGGCGACGCTATTCCGGATGGCCACAGAAATCATCAAGGAGAATCAGCACGTACAGCGCGCGTCATATGCATTACCGAACAAGCACTACGTGCCTGTGGACATGAAGTACATCGGGGTGGACAACATGACACCCGCAAAGGCGGAGGTGTTCTGCCCACTTGCGGCACCGAGCGGACTGATAACTGCAAGCGTCGACCGCAGGGCTGCTGAGTAGAGTTTTTGCCTTACCTGAATTTACTGTTGTTGTACCAATAAATACATACATACAAAAGCGGGAGGATAAAAGGAGCAAGAAATGCACAGAGCCTGGATTATATCAGCTGAATTGGAGCTAAACTGCCTGATATAGCAGGTATGACGTATTTGTTACCTGTTACAAGGCGAGAAATAGGCCGGGACAGGACAGATAGTAGTACGCTACACAAACACCCCCGACTCCGAACTTTCATCTTGCCCAACGCTCGCCACCGCTACGCCGACGCACACACGATGGCCGGCGACCACAAGTGTCCAGTATGCCAGGCGACCTTCACAAGACCGCAGCACGTCGCCCGCCACATGCGTTCTCGTAAGTAAATGCAGTTCCATTCGCTCCCTCGCCTAGCCCCATGCCGCTGGACATCACGCCCCCTCTGGTGGAGCAGCCAGAGACTCTCTCCCTCTTCATTTCCACAGTCTAGACACCGCCCCACGATCCATCCGTCTCCCGAGAGCGCTGCCGTCGACCTGCTCCCCACCCTCGTTCTTATTTCTACTCCAATCGCTCACCATTTTTATTTTTTTTACTTCCTTTGTCTCAGATACCGGTGATCGCCCATACAAATGCCAGCACTGTGGAGATCAGTTTGCTCGCAGGTAAGCACAATCTAACCTGCTATTCAGTTGCCTCGCCCGCATAGACTGATGTCGCTCCGATGTTTCTGCAATGAATAAGCGATTTGCTTTCCCGCCATGTGAACAAGTGTCATGCAGGCGACAAACCTCCGACGACAACTGCTCCTACCCGACGAAAGGGCTCTGCGTCGTCAACCCGCGCAACGACATCAAAGCAGGCTTGCGACCAATGCGTTATCTCAACTCTCCCCTGTGACGGCGCTAATCCGTGTTGTACGTCGTTCCTCTTCTCACGCTTTCGCCCGCACTCGCCTAACTGCCATTCCCATCTCCTTTTACAGCAAAATGCATACAGCGCAAGGGCCCCTGTACGTATGTCAAGTTCCAGCGACAGACAGCACCGTCTGGTCCTGGACACAGACATAGTCACTCTCTCGACTCCACGTCATCTATCTCTGCTCTAGCAGGATCTGTCCCGCGCCCTGACGAACTATTTTTGGGACCACCCCCTATGACCGTGCCCTCGATGGGCGGGACTGGTGAGCTGTTCTATCCAGCTCAATTTGCGTTCAATGCGCCGCAAGGTGCGCCGGCTTGGGACAGCGATTCTAACATGCCAGCGCTCAGCTTTTCTGGTACAGACTCTGGCGGAGATTCTTCATCCTCGGAGACTTCGCGCATTCGTGGTGTCGAAATGTTGCGTGCTAACGCACTCGCTCAGGCGGGTTATCAGCCAGGTGTAGGTGGATCCGGGTTTTCAGCAAATCCGAATGCATATTATGGACTTCAGCAACAACAGCAGCAGCAGAATCAAGCTGTAGGGCCAAATGATGCTTGGCAATTCTCGACAGATTTTAGGATGCCCATGCAGAGAAAGATGGACGATGGCTTCGCACAGTATCTCCCAGCTGGTGCATCTTCTCAGTTAGGTGGCCCATCTGCAATGATGAATCCGACAAACCTCGACTTCAACAACGCTAATACCAACGGAAGCGGAGGGCCGTATGGTTTACACGGCCGACGAGGCTCTATCGACGCATACAGTGATGGTAGTGGTTTATCGGCTCCGAACTCGGCTGCCTCATCAAGCGTGCATCTCCCACTCGATTTCAACTCGACAGATCTTCCTCCAGGTGGTCAGCAAATTCAGCCACTCAGCACGCTTTATCAGTTTGATGAGAACCAGCATCCTCCTCCCTCGCGCGAGGGCAGGGTGGCATCTTCGTTCGGATTGATGACCCTTGCTGATGGCGATCAGCCATTCATCGGTGATTTCAACAATGCTAACAATAACATTAATGCGGACGGAACGGCGCCGTTCTTCTCTCAACACGCGATGAAACTTCCTCCGCAGGATTCAACGCCGAGGCCATTCCGGAATGATGATAACCGGGCTGGCCAATCGCTAAATAGCCCTCGCGATCGTGAGGCAGAAATGCGTGAGCTTCGAGACTTTTGGAAGCAGTACCTGCGCACACCGCTTACGGGTCCGTCGCTCGGACAAACACCAAAGGCCGAGTTGCTCAACAACCAGTTCGGCTCGTTCGGTGATGCGGCGCGTCCGACGCCGAAGCGTGGGCTATCACGTGTTGCGTCGCTACCTTCCGTCCGAACGCCACCAGAAGAGAAAGGGTCCGTGTTACCTTCGCGCGTTACGAATTCGCACAGTCAAAGTCACGCGCAGCTTCCGGCTGTTCAGACCGCGGACGATCTCAAGAGTTACGAACAGGCGGTTTTGGCTCGCAAGCCTTTGAACTTAACATTTGTTCCTCGGAAGGGCCGTCATTCAATATCGTCGTCAGCTAGCCCCCAGCCTATTCCCGAGCAACAGCAGCAGCTGATGCAGGCGCAAATGGCTGCTGCAGGACAGAATGCCACTTCGAACATGTTCGCTCGACCTGGTCCGCTTGCTGCGTTTAATAGCACAGACGGTGGAAACTCGAGTGACGACAATCCGATCTCGGATAATGCCTCTGTGCAGCGGCCAAACTTTAAGCGACTAGCGTCGCAGACTCTTGAAAATGCAACACAGAAGCGAACAATGTTCCGTTGGGGCGAATCTGAGGATGCTCTTGACGATAGTGAATCAGACATGGATGTCCCGAGTGACATAGGATCTCCGCCGAACCGGTTTGATACAGTGAATTCCGAGATGCGTACAAGCAGCATGAGTCCGACTAGTTACCATCGTGGGATGCAGCTTGCACATGCGGGAGTGACTGGATCAGGTGCAGACGCGTTGCTTGACAGGTTCCGGCGGCAAAGTGCACCAACTGGGATGCGGCCTCTTATGAACGGGATGGACACTGGCAATGGTAACGTACATGAGAACAGTCCTAGCCCCCTACAGGCCTCACATACTCAATCAACTGTCAACATGTCAATGAACGCGCCACAACCTGGGTTGCCTGGCATCGATAGCAGCGCTCTCGTCCCATCCTAATGCAGCATCATGTTGAATGATGGCATCGGTGCTCTTATTCGTGCTCTCGTTTTCTTGGTTTCCATCGTCCCGTGTCGCCTGCCAACTGTATCCATTGAAGACCAGTTCGTTTGTCCTGTTTCATTTGCCATGAAGTGCTTCTTCGTATGCTTCTTTAGTTTACACACCTTCATCGCTTTTCTTTTGTCTTTACGTGCTCTCGCCCATTTTTTCGGACTCGTTGGACTTTGATGTACGTTATTGATGTTTGTCCGCCGATGGCGTCGTATTTTAATAGGAGAAGGGTCTGATGGACTCGGATCTCCTGTTTTTTTTTCCTCAAATTTCTGTCCGTCGGCTTTGTGTCTATGAAACTAACCTTTCCTCTTTACATTTATTTTACCAGCTTCTGCTCGATGTTGCTCTTGCGTTTTCTCCTTCCTACCATACCCTAGGCCTTTTACTCTTGATGAGTTGAATACCTGGAGACATGCTGGATCGTAAACGTTTGCGCCTTCTGTTTCTTTTTTTTCGTTGCGTTTATTCTTTACTTTTTCTGTTCCTTTTGTCGCTTTGTCCCATTTCTTCGCCTCAAGTTTGCAGACCATTGAAGATAAGAACCTAACGAAGACCATGTACTGGTCATACCAGCTGAAGTGAAAAGTGTATTATTTCTGTTCATTGTCTGCTTTTACGCTCCTCTTACCCTCATATCCAACGATTGATATCTTGGAGAATCAGGACCTCATTTAGTGTAGTGTGTAATAGTAATGATACCTCGATGGTTTCCCCACAGATATCACTGCAAACTGCATTGCGGGAGTTCACGCTATCCGACACAGAACGTGTTTCCACCACTGATAAGCTGCTACAGTCATGATCTAGTCCATCTTTGCATCTTACAAGCCCTCATAGTCTTTGTGTTTGCCTTACATTACATTACTCTTTGCTTGTTTCAGACCAGAAATGAACTGATTTAAATGTTTGGGGCTTAGTGAATGAGCATTGCTTTCAGGATTTTAAAGCAAACGGACAGGTTTGCCGCCATGCAATTCCATAATACAAACAGCACATCAATGGTCATATGTCTTACTTTGCTCTGAAATGTTACTCTATGGCCAGTATATAAGGAATAAACCAAGTGGGAAGTGTTAGTTGCTAAATACTTATCACAAACAAGCATGTCTAAATTTTTCTCGAGATCTCAAAGCAAGCCTGCTAACTTTGGTGACAGCTCCAGCTCTAGTTCTAGCTCGAACCAGAATAGTACCAGCAACCAGCAACCAAGGCGAGAGGATCCCTGCGCACAACACGTTCAGAACTTTCGAGCTACATTCACAAATGATGTAGGAACAGATGGACTTGGGTTTATTCATTCGTCTGAAGATGCGAAAAGACTTTATGATTGTTATTCTTCAGAGGCTAGGAAAGAAGAGGCGAAGAAACAGCAACAGGGAGAAAAGAAGTAATAGGACAGAGTTGAAAAAAGAGATATAATATTAATGGAAACAGTTAGATACTGAATAGATTTTTTTACGGTGATATGCTTACTTGAATCGTTTTGTGAACAAAAGACATATTTCATGAAGTTGTGGAATTAAAAAGAATACTGTGCTGCAAGCGTTTACAGTAGCATCTGACTATATACCTTTCTTTTCCTCATGTGCCAGCTTACTCGCCATCTCAGTCTATACTGTCTTTAACGGAAATGCTTTCAACATCTATCTCTTTGACTTCCCTACAGAAAGCTAGGTTTGCTTGCTATCAACCGCGACACTGTTATGCCTCCCTCTCACCTTGTTCCAAATGTACACATTTATCCAGACGACATTGCGTAGTAAGCACAAACCGTGTATGGCTTCCTGGGTGGTGATGTAGTGTGGAAAGACACGGACTCGACAAGTAGTGAGTGCTTCTGGTGTAAATAACCTCAAATTATTTAGTGAGATAAGACTTAGTTCATGAAAAGGATTCAAAAAGGTTCGACTTCAATAACTTTCAATGATTCAATCGGAGTCGAAAGTCGAGTACAAAAATCGAGTGGTCATGTGAGCTCAAATTTAATCTTATTACGTCAACTAGTTGATGATGATCTTTTTAGGTTCCACGTAGCTTCGACCGCGCGTTTCTGTCCACTCCGCCATATCTTGCTTTCTTGCCTGCCTCACATACTCTTTCCTTTCTTTACCTCTTTGGATAACGACGGCCATACGACATGAGTGCTGCGGTACAGAATCTCGTCATTTCGCTCGTGGCGATGCAACGTATGTCTTTGTCTCTCTTAAAACTTCGCTGTCGTTGTTTTGTGAAGGACTTCACTCTAATTCTTTTCTTTACATTCCCCTTTCTTGGTTCCGCTTATTCGGAATGGACTTCCCTGACTTAAATTGCTCGGAATGGAATAAATCGACATGTAACGCGCCCGGTAAATGCGGAATGTGGAACGCAAAATTGCAGTTGCTCGCAAGATTCCATTCGACGACCCCGAGGTGCTCACCTACGTGCGCATTGGGTACGTGTCGGTTCAGCTCCTCGTCCTATCGACGTATTATTACCTCAACATGAAGGTGCGTGTACTAATTCTTTGTGCTTTTGACTGATTCGAGAACTTTGGTTGCTGATAATGTTTTTCGTTTTGTGGTTACGAACTCGTTTAGATCAAGCAGAAGAATGATCAGACGGTGTTGAAGTATGGTACGTCGGGTGTCTCTTTGGTTGATTAATGTTTGGAGGAGTTGAGCTGATGTGATGTACGCTACGTGTAGTTGAAGCTGCAAACCCGATGGTGAATGAGTTTCCACCGTAAAGAGTGTGCATTTATCTGATGCCTTATCGAATGTTTATAGACGCAACAGCCTGGGGATCTCGTTACCACGACCGTACGGGATTACGACCTCCAGGAAGTCACCAAATCCGTACGCCCTTTCAACTGATACATTCTTTCTTTTGTTTTCTCACTCTGAAAACCGCAGGTCCGTGCTGTCTATATGGGTCTCGCGATGATGGGTTTCCTCCACCTGTATCTCAAGTACACACAACCTCTCTTCATCCAGGGCCTCATGGGCCTAAAGAATGTGTACGATGCGAAGGTCGTACAGATTCATATCTTTGGCAAGCCTGCGGAGGGTGATCTTAAGCGGCCCTTCAAGGCGGGTGGTGGTTTATTCGGTGGTACGTAGTTGTCTTGGTTGATTCTCCTTATCTACCTTCGTTTGTATTTTATTTCTCTTGTTAATCATGTCTTGTCACTTGTAGGTGCCTCTGGCGAGCCAGCGACGGACAAGGCTGCAATTGACGAGGCAGAGAAGAAGGTCGGCCCAAAGAAGGACGAGTGATCGTTTTGTTACAGTGGTAGTGGACTTGCGCCGCTTGGTTCTTAGACTATTTGCGTGTATTCCCTCGCCTCGGTTGTTCAGCTATATTATTCTCGAAAACTGCGGACAGATGTGCATCGCGTCCACTCTGCAGACTTACTACTCTGGCAGAGAATGTGTGAGTACTGCACTGCGACAAGTCAATGGATGAAAGGAAGATTGAACGCAATGGGAGTGGAAGACCTCCGATACTGGTAGCAACAAGGCCTAAAACTTTCTAAGCGACATTCTTTCCTGCTTGCTCGATCATAAACCTGAAAACGGCGGATCATATCTGTTTCTGATTGGGAATATTGTTATTCGAAATTTCCAGCTTTGTGGATATTTCACAAAGACTTTAGAAGCGACGTGCTCTGTTGAGATGATTCTACACATGAAGATCACCACGACTGTTTGTTGGCAATTCATACCTGAAATGAATGAAAGAAAGAATCATGTAGAGGAAAGGCATGAAACTAGTCCAGTCCAGCTGCAGCTGGACCAGGAGTCAATGTACGAGGAGCAGCACCAGCCGACGGCGCACCACCAAAAAGTGACGAAAGCATATCACCGAACGGGTTGACCGCTTGATTACGCGGAGGCGGCAATCCGAAGAAAAGCGTCGCTAACTCGTTGAGATGCTAGGGAAAGGAAAAAATAAAAAGACGACAACAACAGCATTCAATTAGCCTGTATGCACTCTTAGGTCTTAAAACATAGACAGGTTTACCTTGCGAATTGGATTCTGAGCGAGTACACTGTTTCTGCCAAGGTACGTACCACACAGCCGGACCCACGCCTCCTGAGCCTTTCTGTTCTCGGGGCTCGTGCCTGCACCTTGGGCGCGTTGGCACGTCCGAACGGCGAGTTGAAGGAAGTTGAGTAGGGAGTCTGTTGTGAATATCACTTCGTCCGTTCCACCGGCAGAGGAAGAGGAAATGACTGGGAGTGGATTAGGAGAAAGCTCGGATCGTAGAGATGGAGAGGCGGATGTGGTGAGGGAGACGAGGTGAGTGATGAATGTACGTGCTGCGAGGACGTTGCCGTTTAGAAGGTACCTGTGTATAATGGGGATAGAGATAGTCAGTCGTCTTTCGGTGTTACTGTAGTAGGTGGCTGAGTATCTATCTGTATGTCAAGACGCGTGCACTCCGGATGAGAACGGGGCCCGATGTATAATGGACCTTTATGCATAATGGCAACGCATTCTGAATGGTGAATACAATTCCACCATAATTCTTTCTCTGACGTGCTTATACCAAGTATTTCGGTATAACAGAATGAAATAACGGTGTTTCCAGATGGGGATCAAACTACTTACGGAATGGTACCACGGAGTGCAAATGGACCTGCAGATGAGGATACAGAGGTAGCATGCCACCATTCAAACATCATCTGCGCGAGTACACGTGCACTATCACGCTTCCCGGCTGCTAGAAGGTGAGGTTCTGCGAGGTCAAAGGCTCCATCTAGTTAATGGTGCATATATCGTAAATAACAATTCTTGAATGAATATTACCAGTGGTCAAGCACACTGGTCAAGCACCTTTGTAAAGAAGTTCTCCAACATAATGATTCAAGTCTGGGTCGCCAGCCGGACATGGTCCTGCCTTAGCTGTCCAGCTAAGTAGCGCAAGTGTTTAGCCTACGTTGTGTATTTGGTAGCGTAAATTCTACAACTTACGTTACAGCCTTGTCAATTAGCGTCTTGCGCCATGTTCCATTGGATCCCGTCAATGCGATCAGTTGAGTCAGCCTCCCTACATACGTCTCGTTCAGATATACGCATCACAAGATAAGTAACCATGATACTCACCTCTCGACTCCTCTGAAACGACTTCATTTTTAGCCTCGTACACTTCGATCAGAAATAACGCAAGGTCTGTTCCACTTCCCGGCTGACCCGCGGTAAGCAAGGCACGCGAACTTTGGAAGAGAACGTCAATTGCGGTATCGTACTGAGCGGACTTGATGTATCGCGAAGCAAACGTGCGGGCTTTCTGGTGAGCCTCGTATGCATGGCCGTCCGCGATCTGCGGCAGAATCGCAGCCAAGGCTCTAGAAGAAGAGGCTGCGGATGGTGGAGGCATCTAGAACGTGCAAAGTGCTTTCAATCTATGCAGCACCCGGGTCAGCAGAGTGGGTGTACAATTACAAGGACCAAGGTTGAGGGCGCGATAATTCTATTCTAACAACTCTGTGTCACGTGGTATATAAACCCACCAAATTCAATAATCTGAATTCTCGACTGTAACTTCCACCGTGAAGTTTGTACTGATGCTTCTGTGGCTGCTTTTCCATACAAGAAAATATATTATTCTCGGGCCGAAGGCAAGGTCCATCTATCTCTGATCCAAAGGACTTCGACCGTACAGGCGCTTTGGTGTCCTTGACTCCTCGCACGATGACGACCAATATCGCGAGTCTTACAAGCTTTATATGGTGAGTGTCTTCCAGAATTCAAAACCTCCTTTGATTGGTACTTGTTCGAACGGAAGGTAACTACTTAGGAGGCTCTTCAGCAGCCGACAGAGATGCTTCAACTGTTGTGCCAAGTGTCCGACCCCCGGTAGACCATGCGCTGTCGGTGATGGCACTCTATGCCACTTTACTGTTTTCGTGAATCTACTTACATTAATCTTCCATTTTATACCTTGGACTGGTCGGTCGGGATTACCGGACATGAGAGAAGACTTGCAATGATCTCCAATGTTATTCATAGATCAGCAGACTCGGCTTGCTTGGGACAGAATCGCGAGACCAGAAAAGAGTAGATCTACGCAGTGTCAGCTTTGGTCGCTCTTCTTGAGATGATTCGCCCTACTACACTTTCCTTGTGCCACGCCATACTGATACTTCCAGACAATACAGTGCTAGTGCTCGTCAAGTCAAATTACAACGACACATTTTGCAAGCCCGAACTTTAGTCTTAATGGGCTCTCTTGCCGATGCAGGCACAAGCTCATGCTATCAAAATGTGCTAGTTCTATTTTTAACGTTTCTGTGACTCAGTCTTGGTGCCAAGTGAGAAATTCCCTTCCTTGCGTTATCTGGCTTCTTTGAAGATATGCAAGTACGTCTTCGGAAAATGCTATTTCCACTTTGAATTTGCTGCTGTCTGAAGCAATTTTACTTAGTTTCAAAGGTTTTGCACAGCATGTGTATGATCTTCTCAAAAAAATCGGCCTTGCCAAGCGACCGTCCTCTAGGTTTACTTGGCCAGGTCAGTCAATATGATATGCGAGGGTAAGCGAGTGACTCTGGCCGAATATAAAAACGGTGGCTTGCAGCTGATGACCAGCAGGCAACTTTCAGAAAGTACTGCCTCGTATCCGGACCTAAAGAAAGACTAGCCATGTTCGACATGCATTTACTGTACTGCCTTATACTTGCGTCAACGACTATTGCAGCTCCTGCTATAGGCGGCAATGGATCGTCTGTCTCCTCTCGGCGGTACTCGAATCAGCTACGCCTTCATCTGGTAGCTCAACTGTCGGAACTGCTGTACCAGTAACACAGATCGTTGCACCAGCAGGCAATAACCCGAACTTTCAACCCTATCCTCAAGGCACCGATGAAATACCTCAGCCCATCAACAGAGACCTCGGTGCCCCACTTATGGCACCCGACAATATCGCTATTAGTCAACAAAATCCGGATCTCCTTGCTCCTCCGTCGACTGACCATGGCTCGGTGTTAGTATCTAATCTCAGTCAGGAATGCGTTTACTTACAGTGTCCTTAGGGAAAATGCAAAGTGGCCTTTCGCTTTGAGTCATAACCGTCTTCATACAGGCGGCTGGGCACGCCAGCAGAATGGTAAGTAGCAAGCCATACGACTCGACACCATGATAACTGTTGTTTTGCAGTGGATGTATTGCCCGTTGCCACTAATATGTGAGCTTAGTATTGGATTATGTTTGAAGCTCAAAACATTGTTCACTTATTTATTCCCGTAGGGCATCGGTTAACATGCGTCTTGCAGCAGGCGCCATCCGGTGAGCTATTGGTTTGGCTTTCACTGTTTCTTGATTGAATGCTTATATTCAATTAGCGAGCTGCATTGGCACACGTCAGCTGAAGTAAGTCATTCGCGAGTTTATAATGTTTTTTACGGTCCCTGACAGCTCTTACAAATAGTGGGCTTACGTTTTAAAGGTATTGAATTTGCCTGTGTTAGATTCAATTTGCATGTTGACATTATTTATCAACAGGGAACTGTCATAGTCACTGCTGTCAACACTGACGGTCAGGTATTCGCTGACATAGTGGTATATTGCATGATTCTGAACACGTTTACAAGCACCTCATTTATCGTCTCTGCAGAACCCAGGTGACCTTTGGTTCTTCCCCGCCGGCATCCCCCATTCCATTCAAGCAACCGATGATGATCCCCAGGGGAGTGAATTTGTTCTGGTAAGAGAGGTACCGGAATTGACGATGAACAATATTAAATATGTTTGGTGTTACAGGTCTTTGATGATGGTACTTTCAGCGAGACCTCGACATTCCAGGTGACAGAGTGGACTGCACACATGCCGAAGGAAGTATTAGCAAGGAACTTCAGGGTTGACATGTCTGCATTTGATCATATCCCATCGGAGGAGTTATTCATTTTTCCAGCTGGTTAGTAGTGCTTTTCAGTGAACTAGGTTCTGCTGTAATGCTTACCGTGGACGTCAGCTGTGCCTTCAAAAGATCAGGCAGATACCACAGGTCCTGCAGGGACCGTACCGAACCCTTATACATACAAGCTCTCCCAGGCGCCAGAAGTTCCGCTGGCAGGTGGTTGGTGGAAAGTCTTTGATACGAGTGTCTTCCCTGCAGCCAATACTATTGTCGGCGCCCTCGTCTCAGTTGAACCTGGAGCGATCCGGTACGCATCTCTCTTCGTTTGCACTTATCTGTTCTTACTTTCTGCCCTCGATCAGAGAACTTCATGTAAATCTCAATGATCTATCCATTCATCCATAACCTTGCTGATGGCTTTACAGTGGCATCCAACTCAACACGAGTGGAGTTTTTTCCTGTATGCGGTTGCACTTCTTTCAATATTGCATCATCGACATTAGCTGATTCGTTCTATCTTCCAATCAAGTTCTGGAACTGCCAGAATGACTCTCTTCGCTGGTCGATCCGACGCACGCACATTTTCCTATCAGGTAAATTATTAAATTACGCGTGGTAAAGGACTTGTATCTGACGCTTGTATTGATAGACCGGTGACGTTGGTATGAGTTTAGACTCTTTCGCCTGATGCATGGTGCTATAAGTTATTTTCTCTAGGGTATGTCCCGCCTTCTTACGGTCATTACATCGAGAACACTGGCAACACGACTTTGCAATTCCTTGAGCTCTTCAATGCAGGTAAGACCCCTTACTTCGCTTCTCTTCTATTCCACGAAGTTGATTGTCAAACGACTATTGCTTAGATCGTGTGGAAGACATCAGCCTGGCACAGTGGCTTGCTCTCACTCCGCCTGAGCTCGTTAAAGCTCATTTGGAACTTGACGACGCGATGATTGCCAGCTTGAACAAGACGAAGCAGATTGTTGTTGCTCCGTCTTGATCAGCAAGATTGCCTAATCATTTTGGTTTAGTACAGTATTGGAATTATGATCGATATTGCAGTGAAGTGATGATTTTGGAATGTTTACGGATGTTTATACGGATGAAATGTAGTCAGTAAATAAAGTGTGACATTGTAATGGTAACATGTGCCCATATTAGGAAGCCATGCCCTGACTTCTTGTTCATCCCTGTGTCGAGTCGTCATCACAGAATCAGAATGTTGGCCTTTCAAAATACTCTTCACCTCACTCCTTGAGCTTCTCTGTCAAGAATTTATGATGGTACCTATCATTGGAGTCAGATGTTCTGCCGCATCTTAATCGAGCACACGTTGTCGAGTCTTGATCAGTGCTGCGGCTGAAACTAATGCGCAAGTCAACAAGCGTTCTATGGATATGAATTGTGTGTATTGTTGAAGGAACATCACACTGGCGCCAACAAGACCCCGGGAGGGCATAAATGAAGATGTTCATGTGGTGATGGTATGTGCAATATATATTCATTCTCATCCCGCAGAGCACTTGACCAGTCATTGCCGACCAGAATACAGGATACGACGATAATCAATCTGTCAAGGTGCTTGGCACGGTTTCTACCGGCATCCAGTAGAGTTATGAGCAGAATACACTTTACATTTTAGCGGACCTGCGGCCCACTCCAAAAGGATGTCAGCGATATGGGAGCTCTACCATCGGCGGTGCCAAGACATTGCGTCTACACACAAGCATCCGAGAATAGGTAGTTGCACAATCCACTCTGATGGTCTGATATTGCTACGCCATTATGGCGAATAAACGTCGGGTACCCTGCAATTACTCCCGCACTGTCAAGGTTTGCGACCATGAAAGGCGGTGTTGAACTCGATATGGCATTTATGGACTCACAAACCTGCATAACATCGTAAAGGGTGGGGTGTCGACCGGAAAGAGTGGGAGAAATGGCCCTAGTTATTACAGTCGTTCTCACTTCACTTGTCAGTCGGACATGCATCCGACGAGAACCCCAGTCCAAGAGCTCAAAAGAAACACTTCCATTTCTATTTGTTCACCCCTACCACGGTCTCCCGGGGGTGAGCCTCGATCTATTTTTGTACGGCACACCAATATCTTCGGTAAAATGTGATGCGTATTGACCGGACGAAGGCGGAGTTTGGTTCGCAATTTCTTTTAAACCGTTTACGTTGATGGTATATTGGCCATACTAGCCGCCTCCATGTGGAAGTCGATTTTACTGCTCTGATATTTCCTGTGAGTGTTGAACATTCTCCTCAGAACTCATTTTCATTTATTACGCACTTATGCGTTTCCATCGCAGACCAGTTATTATTGCTATCTGTTCGCTGTAATTACTAATACTATCTGGTAGGGTGCGGAGTGACTAGCGCAGAAGAACCGTTTACGGTCTCAGCGCCAATTCGACCTTTGCGATGAACTAAAAAAAGTACCCAATCGGAACCCAATACAATGTCATCTTTTCCGGTCTTATTCAAATACTGCTTCTTTCCTTAGGAATCCTTTTACTATTTCCGAGTAAAACTTTCGGCACAAAACTAGTTAAGGTGCGTTTCCTCCTATTTGGGTTCATAGAAGCGATTTCGCTGAGTAGCCCGTGACTGTTGTCGCTTTTCTTTTCATCAAAGAGACATAAGTATTCAATGGCGGCTGCTCGCATCGGCCGCCGAGCTCCGTTCTGAAACAAGGCGACCGGGAACTTTCCACCAAAGGACCAAAACAATGGTTGAATCTCACAAGCTGTAATTTGAAGTTACGGATCCGCTTGAGCTGGAATGGATGCTTTAGTCGGTCAAAAAGGCCAGCACGACGATTGCAAACGGATGGTATTAAATCCGAAAGCGGCGATTGATTGTGAAGCGCACCTTTTTAAACGAAAGAAGCCTGAAGGAACTGGTTTCCGATTGCGTCAGTGAACACGAGGGCACATCCGACAGGACATGCTTTATTTTTAATGAACACGGATTTCAATATATATGTTTCGAAGCTAAGTTGATGAGACACTTAGGAATAGGGCTCAAAGTCTATTTTTATCCTCCCTCGGCCAGGTCCCGGTGCCGATCGCGAAATCCTCTCCTCTTTTGCACAATCTAAGGTCCTCAGCGGGGTTCGTTAGTTAGAAATCCGAGCGCTCTCGTTTACCCATGAAAGCATCCTTTGGACACGTGTCTGTACATTTCTGGTAAATTTTATTCCCGCTGTGAGCTAATTACCATATGAAGTGGCTTTAGTCATGGTTGTTTAATTTCATCCGCTGACAACTTCGTCTTCTGCGGTGTATACTCATGGATCTCCCAATCTGTTCGTTTACGCGAAGCAGCCTTGCTTCTAGCCTACGAATGTAACCGTGCTTCGCTATCGTCCGTTCATGGAAGCGCAGAGGTAGAGCAATCCCATGCATTAGGGCAAGTGAGCGACCATTGACGTATCACCTTCGAGATCTGTGATGGAAGCCCTTAACGTTATGGATCATGCGGACCATTGATATCATGTATCCGACGAGAGTACTCAAAGTTGGCGGACTTTGGAAGGGTACATAGGATGCCGTTAACCGCTTTGATTAACAGTGCGTGGTGCCTCACGTGTGACTTTTGTATCTGCCCGACTGACGGTTCGGCCTGAACTATTTCCAGAAAGTGCCATTTCTGAGACCATTATGAGATGCACATTCATGGGGAACAACTCACTCTGCCCTATGAGACAACACGGCTTAATGCAGATATCGTTAAATAAGCAAGCACACCAGGCCGTATATAAGACCCTCTGGTTCTGCGGCTGACGGTCGAAGGCAACCTTCAGACACTTTGCCCCGTATCCGGACCTGAAGCCTTGTTATGTTCGACACGCGTTTACTGTACTGCCTCATAGTTGCGTCAGCGGCTATTGCGGCCCCTGCCATAAGCAGCAGTGAAACCGCTGTCTCCCCGTCCTCTGCAGTCTCGCCCAGTCCTTCCGTCTCTTCTATCGCCACTTCTGCTATTTCTACCGTACTCCCCTCGCCATCGGTGTCCGAATCTCCTGCAGGGCATTCATCTAGTGGCTCAGCTGTCTCAACCGCTCCGTCAGAAGCGCAGACTGTTGCCCCGGCCAGCGACAACCCGAATACACAAGTTTTTCCACAGGATACGAATGAAACACCTGAGGCAGTCAATGGACCCCTTGGAGCTACTATTATCTTCCCGGACAACACTGTTATCGATCAGCAAAACCCCGATGCGCTTGCACCACCTTCGACCGACCATGGTTCAGTGTGAGTAGATTTAATCTACACTGGGAATATATACAAACTTGTTCCAGAGGAAATGCAAAGTGGCCTTTCGCCTTGAGTCATAACCGGCTTCAAACAGGTGGTTGGGCTCGACAACAAAACCGTAAGTAGCTGAATTCCGACTTGACCATTGTCGTAATGACCTGTACTATATTATAGTGGATGTAATGCCTCTTGCCACTAACATGTAAATTATTCTACCGATCCCATTTGTAGCATACCCTGAGATGTTCTATTTAAAGGGCATCTGTCAACATGCGCCTCGAAGCAGGCGCCGTTCGGTAGGAAGTCACGTTTGCTCGCGTATTTCTCATACTCACAACTTCTCAATCAAGTGAACTTCATTGGCATAAGACAGCGGAAGTACGTCAGCTTCACTTTCATTTCGTCGCTTTGCGCATCTTAACGATTCCTGTGTATAGTGGGCTTACATCCTAAAGGTTCTTCCTTTCTTTCTCCGAGGCCAGATCATATGCTAATAATATCTATACCAATTAGGGAAGCACTATGGTCACCGCAGTCAATACTGATGGACAGGTATTTTCCGACACAGTGGTAGGTTTCAAGAACTGTGAACAAATCTCACAAATTCAAATTTTGATCGTATAGAATCCAGGTGACCTCTGGTACTTTCCTGCAGGCATTCCTCATTCCCTTCAAGCAACCGACGATGACCCTGACGGTACCGAGTTTCTCTTGGTGAGTGAATCTCTTTGTTAGCATATGAGAGTCTTACTGTGCGCTTCAATTATCCCAAAGGTATTTGATGATGGTTCTTTTAGCGAAGACTCGACGTTCCTTTTGACGGACTGGACCGCCCACATACCAAAGGAAGTTTTAGCGAAAAATTTCAAGGTCAATGTGTCTGCATTCGATCATATCCCATCTCAGGAGTTATACATCTTCCCAGATAGTGAGTGGTCGCACTACAAGCGTAAATATATTTAGCCGTAATGCTTATCATACGCTTCAGCTCCGCCTTCGAAAAATGAGAAGTCACCCGCAAGCCCTGCAGGAACTGTCCCCAACCCTTTTACGTTCCACCTCTCGCAAGTTGCAGCAACTCCACTGGCAGGTGGTTCCTGGAAGGTCTTTGATACGACTAACTTCCCTGTCGCGAACACTATCGTCGGCGCCCTTGTCTCGGTTGAGCCCGGAGCAATGAGGTGTGTGGTAGAATTTTGCATGCAGAAAAAGCTATTCTGATTTACTTTTATATCAGAGAACTTCATGTCAGTTTAGATTATGTATCCATTTACTTGGAGTCTCACTATCACCCCCACAGTGGCATCCAACTCAACCTGAATGGAGTTATTTCATGTATGAAATTCGATTTAAATTGTATATTGTGAGCGCTGATCAAAATACTTGGCATTTTATTCAGTACTGGAACGGCCCGCATGACCCTCTTCGCCGCTCAATCCAACGCGCGCACATTCGATTATCAGGTATAGTATTAAATTCTATCTTGAGCGTTGATATCGTATCTGAACGCGTCGATAGGCTGGCGATATTGGTATGCACTGGACCTCAGTATTTTATGCATGTTTCTAGAACTGAGTGCCTTCAGGGTATGTTCCGCCCTCTTTTGGGCATTATATCGAGAACACAGGCAACACGACCCTTCAATATCTAGAGCTCTTCAACTCCGGTAAGACTTACCAGTCTTTGACCTCGTGTGAAAATCTAACCAATAATTAATTAATTAGACCGGGTGGAAGATATCAGTTTAGCACAATGGCTAGCACTCACTCCGCCTGACTTAGTCAAAGCTCATCTTGACCTTGATGATGCAACGATTGCCAGCTTAAACAAGACGAAACAGGTTGTCGTTGGCCCATCCTAATTACCTCCGCGGATTTCTCGGTGTCGAGTATATGAAAGTAATGACCCGAAGTGTCGATTTTGATGCCTCGTTCATGATTGTAATGTAGTCGAAGTATCCAGTCAAAAATGAACGGGAAGTTCCATTTGACGTTGTGAGATTGCGCTCAACTTTTTCTCCCTTTCGAAAAAGAAAAAAGTCATTCGAGTGAACTGTGTGAATTCCTTTTAAAACGTCAAGTGAGTTCTGACGGGGAATAGGAGATAGGAGATCTGAGAAAAAAAATTGGAAGCAGGTAGCTACTGCATCCGGTGACTCGCTTCGGTGAGCATCGTAGTTGACCTAGGACACAGGCACTGGCGGCGCCCCACATTTAGTCGGTCAATCCGGCCTTCCCATCGACTAGCGGATAATTCCCTAACATTCGGTCAAGAGACGTATTCATCGGCACATTGCAATTGCCAAACAGCGGTTCGCGAAAACGCTGCGCCTTTCATCGGTGTGAGCAAGCCGTTTTCGGAACACCGAATGTGAACCGAACATCTTGAAACAATTGACCCCCTAATATTTTCCGCATGCCGTCACCGGCTGAGCTCCGTGATCGCACTCCATCCGGGGAGCTACGACGGTCAACTTAGATAACCTCCGACTCACGATTGACACCTTCCCGCTGTCCCTGAAAGCTCCTGACCACACCTCGAAATGCCGATCGTATTGTCGCGAAACCCCTCGCGCGCAAATTTCCGCTTCCCGGGTGTAAGGTGGGTTCAACGCTCCCCTCAGTTGCTCCGAGCTTGCTCCAGACCAATACACTACTGACAAGACTGTGCATCTTTCTTTCAGATGGGCTGCGAAGATGCAGCTCCGCCAACAATCAGGAATAGACCATACCACGAATAGGATAGAACCAGACTCGTTGGCATTTTTAGCTGTTCCAAATGCATCTACGATAAGCGAAGATGTCTTCTGAAAGCTCTACAACAACACAAGGAGAGAAAGCATATGATCAGTATTCCGACCTAGGTATGCAAGCAAAGTTCGCGGGCGCACGGTTATATCCTTCAAATCTATTTTCATTCTACGAAGTCCACAAATCTATTCGGTCCAACACCCCAAGGTTCCCCAGAGGCATGCAAAGTGTGAATCGTCCGCCGACCGGCACAGAACAACCAAGGCTTCGGAACCAATCGCATGTGCACGAGATGTAATTGCTGACCAGACATGACCGGAGAAGTAGGGCAGGGGAAGAGACACGAACGATAGAGTCGCCAAATTTTGACTGCTGAGTACCACAATCGACCTTAAGCAAGTCCTACAAGACATCTCAGAATGCTCAAAAGCGTCTGAATTTATACAAAGTTGTGTCGGCGTTTGAGCGGGTATAAGGAATGGCGAGGGAGAGCCCAAAGCAATTGTAGACGTATTTCCGATTGATTCCGATGCTTCTGCAATGTAATTGCAAAGCAAGCCGATCTGTACGTAGAAACAGCCAAGCTTATAAATGCAGCTATCTATATTGAGACTGGCTATCGATGGTCCTTGTTCACGGGTCGGGTCGATATTCTTGGGAGCGGAGTTACCTTCCGTTCCGCGACAGGATTCAGCGTGATGACGTTTTGAGAGCCTCCACAGCGAGGGACAGAACCCGATTGTTTATGAGCCTGCGACAGAAACCTTCCCGTGCTTGATAATTCCATCCAAAAGAGGGAAATTAGTCCTTCAAGGCTGTCAAGGCTGCGTTCTCAGGTGAATCGACCTCCCACTACACTGCTCGACTGCAAGCGTCCTGTGTATTGATAGATGATTTGTTAAGTTGTGACCGAGGGTTGCTTGCTGGCAATAACAGCTGCCGGATTGATTGATGCAGATAGAATACATGCTAGCTGCGAGAGCCCCCGAAGGGTAATGTGAAGCACAGCGTGGCACCAATCGTTCAGAAGGATAACACTGAAGAATAGTAGTAGCACTTCATCCAGTCATTTGCATCTAGAAGGACAAATGCAGTCCATTGTACTGGATAGGAGCAAAGAATTCTCCGATCTTCCGCCTGACCCAAAACAACGAACAGATTGGACACACTGCATGCAGCGGGCTGCCAAGTGGCATTGGACAAGAAGGTACGTCGTATCCGCAACTCCGGGAGGTCGAATGTACTGGAAAGCATTACCTGGTTCATGTAGCCCGCGTTCCTGGGAGCTTGAAGGTGGAGGAAGTTCCTTTGTTCCTGAGGTACCCCTTTACAGCAACCCACGAAGTAGACTCTCGACCAGGTAGATGCAAAGTTGAGTTTGGCTCTACAAGTAACATCTGCCACGAGACCATGGGGGGTTGGCCAAGTTCTAGGACGAAGTGAAAATTTCGCCTTTCTCGTCTGCCATCCTATCGTCGTAACATTTAACCCAGTACTAGTTAGACGGGCACGTCAGGACATGGTATTGGATACGACCTGTGTACGTCGGATCCTATTTCGGCAGCGGAGGATTGGAAACATCGGATGGAATAACTAGGTTGGGAAGTACCACCCCACCTTATCAAGTCAGTGAGACTTCGAGCGGGTTACACACAGACAAATTGGTCCGGGCTCCTCTCGTAAGTAAGCGTGGAAAGTCGCTATCGTAATCGTAAAGGCGCCAATTCTGAATCCCAAGCTGTGACAGATACAATGAGCGGAGGTGACAGTTCAGCACTATATCAAGTCCATTACCGGATAGGACTGGAGTCTGGGTGCATGACAATGTTTCTTTGTATTGAACTTATTCTGTGCTCTTGATGCAGGGAAGATGAGGTGAGTCTGGTGAGAAATGCACCTTGGTGTCAAAGAAGAGACGTCAATGATTCGGAAGCATTTTTTGCATTATCTTTGTACGGATATCTGGACTTGAGTTGTTGTGGTGCTATGTGCAAAGCGAGGGTATGACTGGACCCAAGCAAGTCACGTAGAACAGACATCGATGTGAAAGGGGAACATTTGGTTTGTAAGAGAGAATACAAGTTTGTGACTTCATCACGTGATGTTAGTCACGCCGCGTTCATCATTGAGAGAACACCAAACCACAGACAACTGGGTGAACAAAGAACTAGCCATTTCTTGCATATTATCTTTCCAAAGCAATCAGTTATGGCGCATGTCGTTGCACATACACGTCCAGTTGACCTCGCTTCAATCCTCGAATCTCCAAACCCGGTGGTCGATCTCCACATCGATGAGTTTGAACGGACATCGCGTCGGTTCCTCAAAGCGGTTGCGGCGTATTCTGCTAGAGCGATCGAAGAGATCGCACAGAGGAAATCACGTCACGTTTCTGAGATGAAGAGGGTCGCGGAACGTACAACGCAGGTGGAAGCGGAGATCCAGTCGTGTAAAGTAAAGGAGATTGAACTCATGCAAGGTGAGAGCTTTCTTTTCGGTTGGACCTTCGGGACGAATCTTTAAGGGTAGCTGATGTCAATTTTGCGCGGAATAGTTCTTGAGAAGGAACAAGCGGAAAAGAGGGAATCTGAATCTGCTGTCGCAGAGCTCAAACGTCAGTTTGCGTCCGTGAAAGAAAAGTGCACCTCAGTGGATGCCGAAATTGACCAATACACGGACGAACTGAACAATTTGCGAAAAGGCTCGTGCTTGTCTGTTTGTCTGCTTAGGCTTTCTTAACTGATGATTAAACCCACGCTAGATAAGCAGAAGGACATGACCGTCCTTGACACTCATGCGTGTCGAGTATCACCAGAACTCCGTGACTGTGTGGAACGACTGCAATTTATGCTTGAAGGTGTTGGTCGTACGTGACTTCACTATGTTCTCCACCAGCTTTACTCATAATAGTTGGGTCTACAGAAGATAAGCTGCTTATTCGATTTCTGAATATCGACCCCAATGAACCCCAACGGGAGTTCAGCATAGTTGTCGACGCGTCTAATCGGGTATATCAAGGTTGGTTAAGTCATATTGTCATTTCCCTCCCTGTACTCACTCAAGAACCTCTCTCCATCTGCCCTATCCCTTGGTTTTGGTGGCGTCCGACAGTACCATTAACAACACCACCGATCCCGACCATCCCGCTTCTGGTTGACCAACTAAATAAGACACGCGACGTATTCGCGTTCATTAAGAGTGTACGGTCGCATTTTATCGATATGATAAAAGGTCCGAGGTGAACTGTTTGCATGGAAGAGTCCATGTTACCTGCTTGGTTTGCATTACATCTATTTCTTGGTTTATCTTGCACAGTATGCGTTACACTTATCCACTATCTGTCCAGTTATTGGACTCACGCAATTGTAATGATTATGATTATTTCACGCTATACAACAAGCAGAGCGGAGAAAAGAACCGAGCAAGCATTCATCAAATCGGGTTTGTCCATGCTCGCATTATGTACATAACGCCGCTCCCGAATCAACAGGCCAGCTGAATGCGTTTTGAGGACATCTCTCGCCGCTGCTCATCACGATAACTTACGGGCGCACTATCACTTCGGGAGAATCGGCCCGCTTTATAAGAATGGGAGGAGATCACTGTTTGTGTGGTTAAACATCATACATGCCAATCTAGGCCGCATTCAAACGGACGAGTCGGTTTCCCTTTCATTGAGTTGGAAATTCCAGCACCACCCGCTTGAGGCGTCTACACTACACATCGTATCGCGTGGGCCAAGAAAGCAAGCACTGACTTGGTGTTGGCTGTCAGCTTTCATCAGCACCATCCTGCCCGCCTGCTCGACTCCGAATCCCGATGAAATACGAATTCTGACATCAAGATATTCACGAGACAAGGACAAGTATATAAATACATTGAATACGAAAATAAGCTCCAATGGTAAGAAGTAAAAGTCGAGAACGACGACCCCGGAACCAAAAATAGGCCAACGTACCTTGAAGCTTCGTCTGTTCAAATGCCAAGGCTGTGTAAAAACTCCGACTAGCACATCTCCGACCAGCATTGCTCCCGAAGGCCAACATGTGTTACTGCACACTGAAGGAACAGGAATTCGAGAATGCATCGGTTAGCTCCTGTAGACTCTATGAACATGTGCTGAAATATGCTATCGGCTAATGCCACACAAGTTGTCTCCTGATCAACATTTCGAACCCAGTTACTTTTCGGGATGCGTTCAGATGGTACACATTCATTGCTACAGAATGTTAGGGCCTTTGCCGGTGTTGCTCGATTCGTTATCAGATAGGATGGCCCCTGCAAGTATGCTTTGCGGGTGATGTTTGAAGCTATACTCTTGCAGTTGGAGTCCCTTATCCAGCGTTAAAATGGAAGCAGTTCTATCTTGCAGAATCGGCTAACGATCAAAGCCGTCTTTCGAGTATACAGTGTATTCGCATGAATTGCGTACATAGACAATATGCAGGTACGTCGGTTTGCTCGGAGCTACTCAACCAGCTATGAATTATTCTACAATGCATCCAACATATTATTATGAACACTCAGAGTTTCTGCTTCCGTCAAGATAGTTTCGAAAATCAACCTTGTCAGTCTTGTCTAAGACTATATCCAGACCTGTGGGGAACCCTCAGGTCCAAAGCATTATAAACTCAGCATAATAAATTTTTTGAGACCCATATGTCACATAGAACTACCTCGTCTTTGACGAAGTTGCAAAACAGGCCACTCTGTGAGGTGTAGGCCTGCTCCTACGCCATCAGACTCGACGATCTACTAATAAAATTAACGATTATTTATAAAAAATGTGTACATGTAATTTTGCTTCGGACTGAAGTGGGTACATGGTATAGGCAGTGGACATGATAAATAACGTTGTCCATTACACGTAACGAAAGAAAAAAAAGAGATAAATATAACCATCACAACTCAAAACCCCATCTCACATCATTAGGAGTATCATACTCGCAAGCAGAGCCAAACCCAGAATTCCAGACGAGAAACTACCAAAAATCGACCCTCCACCACCCGTCGTCGAAGGGTTTGGTGCACTAAATGTGGCAAACGGCAGAAAATAAGATGAGCATAGAAACTTTCTTACATGAACAAAAAAATAAAATAGCACGTACCCGGTCGAAGTTGAGTTAGTAGACGAGTTGGTGGCGGAACCATTGTTCCCAACGAGTCCACTTGAGTTGAAAGCCTTTGTCGTGTTCGACTCAAGTGCCCACATTACACCTCCCATCACATGTGCCATGAATAGATCGTCCTATTGTTGTATCGTTGGTCCGGCGAGCAGTACACGGTGAGCGGAATTACGCAGCGGACAGAAATACACATGCCGGGACCCGAGTACCGAATATGGATTTCGAGTTCCCGAAACGTGAAATACGGAGGTCCGATTTCGAGATGTTCCGGAGTCGACAGCATAAGAATACACATGAAGATATTGAATATGATGGTAAGCTCCGATAGTGAGAAGAAAAGCGAAGAAACCAGCAATAGCAAACTTGGAAGACTAAAGGAGAAGAGAAAGCAGAGATGCAGAAAGGACATACCCGCCAAGTTTCGTTCAAGTGCCCAAGGCTCGTATAAAAGCTCCGGCCGGCAGTGACATTGCTCCCGGAGTCTACGCCAGCTCCGTGTTCCTGAAACCAGGCTACAAATTTTCAGGAAGGAGTAAGTGCATATATGGGAAGGTCGGAGATGGCCACGGTTAGCGTGTATTCGTGGAGAAGGATTTGGATCGGTTACCTGTCGGATGAGGTGACCCTTGATTGAAGTTGTGAGTCGTGTTATCTGGTACAAGGGATAATTACGGGTGTTTAGCGGATATACTCGATGGACAAAGAGTTGTGCAACTCACCGACGTAGCTTGATTCGTTGGCAGATAGGATGACCACAGCGCCGACGCTTCGCGGATCGGACTTGAAGTTATACCTAGATTCAAAACACCGAGATTATATATCATAGAAAAATATGGGTAATATCTATAGTAACGAACATCTCATCCTGAACGTGCCACTCTTTGGGTAGCATGTCCGTACTTGGATGCGACGGACCAATAACATCTACCGTCGCATTCTGCAACGCTGGGTGATCGTCAAAGAAGGCCCCTGCAAAATATGCATAACGTAAGACAGAATGTATGCATATATATGGTATGTTAATTCAAACTACATACCGACTTCTTCACCGTACCACGAATCGTTCCGCAGTGAATCCGACGCACTGTGGACAGCGATGAAGTTTCCACCTTTATCAAGGTAATTCCGGAACGCAGTCTTACCCGACTCGTCCAGAACTGTATTCAGGGTCGCGAGGAAGCCAGTAAGTCGCTTAACAAATCAGACAAAAAATAGAACACGATGATCGTGCAACCAAACAAATGACAAACAGACTGGTGTGCGAAGTTGGGTGATGTGCTTACTCACTTTCGCCCGTTGTGCTCACGAACATAATAGCATCGTACCCCGCCAAATTGTCTTCGGTGAACTTCGTTCGATCCTCTGTAGAATCGAACTGGACGTTGAATTTACCACCGGCGGACTCGCTCTGGTTTTGTAAGGCCCGAATAGCAGTGGGGATGGAGTCGTGCCGGAAGTCCGCGGTTGCTGTGTATAGAAGAATGCGTGCCGTTGACTTCTGCTGTGCCATGACACCCTTAAACTGGGAAGCCATCATGCACTGGAGCGCGAGGAGAGCGACGAGCAGCTGTGAAGGGAAGCGCAACGTCGACAGCGACGCTGACAGTGGTGACGGCATGGCAAAAGACGGGTGGCGTGCAAATCGCAATTTGAAATATGGCAAGGACGCCGTTTCGTGGGAGTGGGCAAATGAATGGCTTCTTCTACAGACTGGAACGCCTTTTTTCACCTTTTAAACATATCAATGTCTGCATTAGCCGATCTCGAGCTAGTTTATTTATAGGGCACCGTAACTAAAATCCTTTTGCGCTGTCAGGCTCACGCGTCGAGAGAGCGCGCATTCAGGTCCGGATTGATTGGCAATCAATGATGAATCATCCCTGCTGGGAAGTGGTGGTGCAACTAATTCTCCTGTTCTCAACATTCTCTGCTTGGTGCTCGTTCCATCCCTCACTCAGCTGGACAAAGAGACAGGAAGACAATTAACACTTGCACAAAGTGAGGTCTATTTCTTTAAAAAGAAATGCATTTCAATAATAGAATAAAATAAAATCATTCAATACTGTCATTTAATCATAATTCTGTAAATACAGCTGCTTCTCTTCTTGCAGGTACATTATATTGTCAATGGGTCATTATTCCATGATATCATCCCTGTCTGCATGTCAGAAGGTTCTACAGTGTTTCAGACATTCTAAGAAAGCTTAGTTATGATTATCCTGACTAGACTGTAATACTCTGCTCAAAGGTTGATGAGCATCTGTAACCTCTGAGGTTACACACATGACTTTAGTTAAGTATATAAAGGGCTATTTGTAGACACTTAGAGATTATCTTTGTACTTGCTCCTGTACTTAGGTTGACCTCTCCAATCCCAGGTCTTTGCCTGTTCTGTGTTCTTGAGTGAGGCTCTGACCTTTACACTTTTTTTTGAACATTACAAAATTTGGGGATTACCTCTTATCCACTACCTTTCACTCATGCCACCAGATTGTCAGCCTCCCCCCCTGGCTTCCCCCCACACATCCACTATCTCCTGCACACTTATAGTACTCTACAGTAATACTCTAGTTAATTACAAACTTCACAAATGCTATACTGAATTCCTGTTTACTCTTAAAGGCTTATAGAGAGAATATTACTACCTGCTGGCCCACCTTTGATCTCCCAACAGACCCTCATCAGATTGGTCCTAGGATTCTAGGAGAATGTGTCAGGAAGATTGTATACAGTTGTGTCAGAGTTGTACACATTGTGCCTCATTGTGAGTCTTGTCAGTTGGCTACAAGTAAGATTCTACTACTCAAATATATACTTTTACTGTACCACCCTCTCCCAGCAAACCCTTATCAGATTGGTCCCTGGATTCTAGGAGAAGGTGTCAAGAAGAGTGTATATGGTTGTACTAGAGTTACATGTGTTGTGTATTATTGTGAGTCTAGTCAGCTGTCTACAATTAAGGTTCTACTACTTGAGAATATGCTTTACTGTACTACTTCAAGCAGATTATCTACAGACTTGCTCTTACTCATAACCTTTCTGCCACTTGTTACAATCTCAAGCTAGTGTTTAGAAATAAGCTGTAGAAGCCCCTACTATCCTATTTCTCAAATTGTTCAAGGAGAACACTATCTTAGTACTACTACTAAGATTAGGAGCTACTATACAATTGCTCTACCAGAACACTGTCAAGAAACAAGCTGTAGAAGGACCTACTGTCCTAGTCCTGAAATTGTGTAAGGAAGTACTATCTTAATACTACTACTAATATCTGAAACTATAGTGTAATTCTCTTCAGGAGCTACAGGTTCTACACTAACAGATAGTGTTTACTTTTAGTACAACAAATGTTATAATCAAGTTGTCAACTATAGTATATTTGTTGTATACTTGTTGTACCTACTGTAACACATATCTCTCTATTATTAAGGTGTTTGTCAAGACTGTCTATTCCTTACTATACTATCTCTTACTCTGTTACTGTCTAGTGTCTACTATTATTGTCTACTGTCTACTAAGGGTATAAAGTTCCTTTCCCTTCCCTTCCTGTTTCCTAGAGTATAAAGCCCCTTTTCTAGTCATAGACCTAGTCAGGGTATCAAGCCTCTACTAGTGTCAATTCTAGTCCTAGATGTATAAGGCCTCTACTAGTATTACCTCCTGTTTCCTAGAGTATAAAGTCCCTTTTCTAGTCATAAACCTAGTTAGGGTACTAAGCCCCTACTAGTGTCAATCCTAGTCCTGGACATCTAGGGCCTCTACTAGTATTACCTCCAGTCCTAAACCTAGCTAAGGTATTAAGCCCCTACTAGTGTCATTCCTAGTTACAGACTTAGCTAGAGATTATACCTTACTAGTATTATTTAGTCCTTTCCTGTCCTGTCCTGTCCTGTCCTGTCCTGTCCTGTCCTGTCTTGTCCTGTCCTGTCCCTCTCATAAACAGACCCCCTGTTACCTCTACATACTCTGTTTTACCTACACACTACCTGTACTCTTATTACTCTCAGAATTAGTGTGTCAATTTTGTCAACCTAGCCCTTCTACTCCTCCTAGTACTAATACATACTTAAGAATGACTGTTCACTTCTCAACCATGTGTTTCAATCATTTGTTTCCTCCCCCAAGTAACAGGTGCTAGTATAACTGAAGAGTTGTTAAGTTCTCTTTATCATACACTCTAACTTTCACACTCCTTTTTGCTCACACTACTAAAGAGATTAGATCACCTCTAACACTCAGTCTACTGTTAGTCAAACAAGACCTTCTCAGTTGTCTTCTCCTTATCTGTAGCAATACTGTACTCACTAGACCTGTTAGGTATCATTCATGTGTTCCTTGTAGTACTGTTTAACATCTTGACTATGTGTTTTAGTCAATGTCTCAGTTGTCTTCTCCTTATCTATAGTAATACTGTACTTACTAGACCTGTTAGGTATTATTCACATGTTCCTGACAGTACAGTTTCATGTCTCAACCATGTGTACTCCTTGTCCCTGTCCTTGTCTCTGTACATTTTCATTAACAAGACAAAGCCTTCCTAGGCCAGTTACTATGTGTTCCTCTTTAACAGCTTGCTTCAACTTGTATCTGTCTTAGGAATACTATTTCTACCAACTCTGTCAAAAGTCCTTGTCCCTATACATTTTCATTAATAAGTTGAAGCCTTCCTAGGCTGGTGACTATGTGTTCCCTCTTACTATACTTCCCTTGCCTCTTCATTAATCCTTCCTTACCTTTTGACAAGTTGAAGCCTTCTTAAACTTGTGACTGTGTGTTCCTTATTGTCTGTCCTTATCTTTGTATTTCACCTCCCTCCCCCCTTTACTATATCCTTTCCTTTGTCTCTCCATTAATCACTTCCCTACCCCCCCCCTTTTATTTCTTCAGAGTAGGGAAGAGTGTAACCTCTGAGGTTACACACATGACTTTAGTTAAGTATATAAAGGGCTATTTGTAGACACTTAGAGATTATCTTTGTACTTGCTCCTGTACTTAGGTCAACCTCTCTAATCCTAGGTCTTTACCTGTTCTGTGTTCTTGAGTGAGGCTCCAGCCTTTACAGCATCTTCAGGGTGAGGATTGTTATAATTGTTACTACAACTACTAAGTATGCATTCCTATTAATAGTAAAGAAAGTTGAAAAACTCTAGAAAAAAACTTTATATACAACATAATGAATAGTATAGTGTCAGCTTATACTTATCTGAGAAGGTTGTTCAGTAATAAATGTTAAAACAGTACTAAGGAGACAAACAGAAAGTATTCTAAATGGAGGCTAAATTAATATTTTACATAAGAAAAATTAGAGAAGGGAATACATACACAAGGAAGTATACAGTAGAGTCTCTTACTATTAGAGTAGTAATGTCCTGTGACTTTATTGAGCCACCTCTTAAAATACACATTAGGGGCTTTAATCTCTTCAATTGTACAGCCTTCTAGAAGACTATAAGAAATAGGAGTAGCTCAACAAATAAAGTTACACCCTATTTAATACTAGACATGCCAAACTGGGACTAGCTTCCAACATTGTCATTAGGTTCCACCACTACACTAAGGTCAGTACCTTCATCCTAACAAGCTTTAATAACAAGTGTAAAGGGTTTCTTAGTGTACAAAGGTATTACACAACACAGATAAGTGTTACAGTTCTCTACTCTTGTACCTTCAGTTCCAAGGGTTCCACACCCTTCTGTACTGGAACTCAGGACTTCTGTCCCTTGAGGGTGCTGTCTATGAACTATATGCATGCTGACTCTTGCCACTACCCTTCCTTACTTCATCATTCTATTCCTTTGACCACCCCTTCATTCTTTGTATCATTCTATGGTCTCTTACCCTTTATCCATCCCTTCATTCTTTGTACCTTTATCTTTGACATTCCTTTCTTTCATTCTTCATGGCTCATCATTCTTAGTGGCTCATACTCCCTGAGTGCTCTTGTGTAGTTTAGTATATATAGGTGTACAAGATCAGACTGGTCCTGTAGTCTTGATCTTGTCTACTCCAGGTAGTCCTGTACTCTTAGGCTTACTCTATATACTCTACTCTTGTCTCACTCTCTCTCTCTGCCTGTTCTACAAGTCCTGACTATGTTCTGGTGCTTGTGTTCTGTATTTCTGTTGTGTAGAATAGTTGTAGCCTGGGTCCCCTTGCTGAGCCTTCAGGTCCCCTCTACACTGTTGCTGACATCAGATTAAGACTACCTATTACTACCCTATGACTCTCCTACGTTTCAGGCATTAGTACTTGCCATTGTGTCAATCTCTTTCCTTTGTCCTGACCCTTTTACATTTTTAAAATTTAAACTTTCTAAACCCTTTTAAACTTTTGCCACCCTTCTTCTATTCATTACCCCTTTTAGTTTAGTGCTGATCCCTTTGTAGTGTAGACATAGACCCTACTACACTGACTGCCACCCCTACTAGTCCCACCAGATCAGTAGTTACAAGTAAGAACTAGCTCAATACATACAGAACCTCTATCTAAGAGGACTTTTGCCATCCACAT